CTGTTCTCGAGATCTCAATAAGAAAACTGGTAAAGGCAAAGTCTGCTCTTGAGATGGAAGAGGAGGGAGACGGGCTGCATGCACTGTCATAAAGGAGTTGTGTACTATCCAGCATGTTCAGCACCATCAACTAAAACCTTCAAATGCGTGGGTAAAGGCAGCAGGAAATGTATGTTGGTGTTTACTAGACTGTATTGAATGGAGCCATGAAATTTGAAGGCGGTGCTCAGATATTGTCTGTACTTGAGTTGTCTGCCACCCAAGAATGGTTGTTGCAGTGCCAAGATCTTATTGAGTAAAATCCACAAGTATTTATTAAACAGCTCTTGTGTTTGGTACTCTTAGGGCACAAACTAAATAGCAAATAGAACTTGTCCTTATAGAATGTGTGTTTTAGTTGGGCTATTGATCTACGTGAAGTTCATGGTGTAGTGGAGAGAGCATTGTCTTTGGAGTCAGAGAGCCTTGGTTTAAATCCTGCCTCTGCCATTTGCGAACTGAGTGAACTTAGCCAATTCACTTAATCTCTCTGGACTTCAGTTCTCTCAGTCTATAAAATGATGGGGATGGTGTTGTTGACTGTTTTTGTGGTAATGGTCATTTTGGCAAGCTGATGAAACTTATAGATCCTTTCTTAAAATAATGGTTTGGGTTTTTTTTTTTTGTTTTTAGGCAATTGGGGTTAAGTGACTTGCTCAGGGTCACACAGCTAGTAAGTGTCAAGTGTTTGGTCTGAGGCCACGTTTGAACTCAGGTCCTCCGGACTTCAAGGCCAGTGCTGTATCCACTGTGCCATCTAGCTGCCCCAAAATAATGTTTTTGATTGTGCATAAAATGGGATTATAAAGGAAACTATTATATTGAAATATAGGCACCTTCTTTGTGTAAGACATTTGCTAAATGCGAGGGACACAAAGAAAAGCAAAAGACCATCCCTGCTGTCAAGCGCACAGTCTAATGGAGGAGACAACTTGGAAACAACTATTTGCAAACAAAATCTGTACAGGATAAACTGGATAAAGATAAACTAGTGTAAGAGAGAAGGCATTGAGATTAAGAGGACTGGAAAAGATCCTGCAGAAGGTGAGACTTTAGCTGAGACGTGAAAGAAGCCAGGGAGGGTAGGAAATAGTAAGGAGGGAGAGTATTTGAAACATGGGGAATAGTCAATGAAAATGCTTGGAGTCAGGAAATAGAGTGTTGTGTTCTGAGGAATAGCCAGGGGGCCAGTTTCAATGGATTTTAGGGTACACGAGAGAAATTAGGTGTAAGAAGACTGGAAAGGTAGGAAGGGTCCAAGTTATGAAGGGCTTTATAAGCCAGACAGAGTATTTTACATTTACCCTGGAAGCAGTAAGGACCCTGGACTAGTTTTCTGGTTTGTCCTCAGAGATGACTCCATTGAATTAGAGGAGATAACATAATCATACCTCTGCTGTAGAAAGATCAATTTTTAAAAAATTATTTAGTATTTCATTTTCCCCAGTTATATGTAAAACAATTTTTAACATTTGTTGTTAAAACTTTGAGTTCCAAGTTTTCTCCCTTCCTTTCTCCTCCCTCCGTTGAGAAGGCAAGCAATTTGATACAGGTTATACATGTGTAGTCATGCAAAACATTTCCATATTAGTCATGTTGTGAAAGAAAACGTAGACCAAAAAAAGCTTCAAGAAAAATAAAGTAAAAAATGTATGCTTCAGTCTGTATTCAGATACCATCAGTTCTTTCTCTGGGGATGGATAGCATTTTTCATGATAATTCCTTCAAAGTTGTCTTGAATTGTTGCATTGCTGAGAATTGCTAAGTCATTCACAGCTGATCATCTTACAATATTGCAGTTACTTTGTACACAGTACAGTTCAGTTTGCATCAGCTCATGTAAGTCTTTCCAGGTTTTTCTGAGTGCATCCTGCTCATCATATCTTATAGCACAATAGTATTCCATCATAATCACATACCCCAATTTGTTCAGTCATTCCCTGATTAATAGGAAAATCAATTTGACAGCTGAGTGGAGGCTGTACTGGAGTGGTGGGAGACCAACCAATAGGCTATTAGAATAGTCCAGGTATGAGGGTGATGAGAGCCTGTTACCAGGATGGTAGCAGTGTCAGAAGAAGAGGAGGAGGAGGAGTACATTAGAGATGTGAAGGTAGAAACACAACTTGACCACTTGATTAGATATGGGGAGTGAGAGAGAGTGAAGAGTTGAGGATGACACTTAGGTTTTGGGCCTACATGACTAGAAGGATGGTGATACCCTCAATAGTAATCAAGAAGTTAGGAAGAGGGGAATGTTTTGGGAGAAAGACAGTGAATTAAATTTTGGCATGTTGAGTTTAAGATGTCTATGGGACATCCAGTTCTAGATATCTAGAACAGTTGGAGATGTAAAGCTGGAGACAAGACTAGGCAAGTAGGTCTTAGAGTCATCTGCATAGAAATAACTGAAACTCTGGGAATTGATGAGATCACCAAGTGTAATAGTATATAGAGAGAAGAGGGTCCAGAACAGAGCTGTGGGGTAGTGCCAGTGTTACTGGGCATGATATGGATGAAGACCCAACAAAGGAGACAGGAACTATCAGGCAGGAGGAGAACCAGGAGAGAACAGCATCACACAAACCTAGAGAGAAGAGTGTATCAAGAAGAGGGTGATTGGAAAAGCTGCAAAGAGAGGTCAAGAAGGATGAGGATTGAGAACAGGCCATTAGATTTGGCAATTAAGAGATCATTAGTAACTTTGGACAGAGTAGGTTCGATTGGATGATAGGTTGGAAGTCAGACTGCAGGGAGTTAAGATTGAGTGAGAGGAGAGGAAGTAAAGGCACCTATTGTAGATGGTCACATGCTATAGAGAGGTCAAAAAGGATGATAGTCCTGGACTGTAAGAAAAGGTCTTTCACTGGATTTATAATTGAGATGATAATAATACCTAACATTTATATATCAGTTTAAGTTTGCAAAGTGCTTTATGCATGTTTTTGATAACTTTGGAAACGACAGTTTCAGTTCAGTGATGAGTGTTGTATTTGGAGTCAGATGACTTGACTTCAAATACTAACTCTGGCACTTTAATAACTCTGTGACCTCAGGCAAGTCATTTCACCTCTCTCTCTCTCAGGTTTCCTCATCAGTAAAATAAGAGAATTGGACTTACATGACCTAAGGCGCCTTCCAACTCTACAGTCCTCTGAGGATGGAAACTGGGTGGCAAAGGGATGAAAAGTGAATGAAGGGAGAAGTGGAGCTAAAGAATATAGACAACTTTTTTTTTTTTTAGTTTGATTGAAAAATGGATAGAGAATATAGGATGATAGTTTGAGGGGCTGGTTGGGTCAAATTAAGGTTTTTTTAAAGTTGGGGGACACTGGATATTTTCTAGGCAGCAGAGGAGCCAGAGTGAGAGAAATTGAAGATTAAAGGGAAGATGATTGAATAGACGGACTGGTGGAGAAAGATGGGAGGGGATTGGCCCAAGGGTAAAAGTAGAGGGGTTGGTCTTAGCTAGGAAGAGGTCCACTTCTTCATCAGATACTGGAGTAAAGGAGAAAATAGAGGATGAAAGTGTTGACTGAATAGTTGTCATCGTTGTCTTTCTGGGCTACTTTTCTTGCTTGTCCTCAGAGATTACTCCATGCACAATTAAGATTGATGCCATTCGTTACTGGGATTCAAGCTTTCAGTCCTTGTCCTGTAGCCCCTTGAGTCTTAAGACCCTAGATATTATAAAGGGAAGTGTTTCAAAGAGGCAATTTAAGTTAAATGACTGTTCACAGTGAATGCTCAGTAAAAGCAGTCCAGGTCTGACATTTTCTGCAGTGTTTCTAGCTAAGAGTGTCATGGCGCTTCTTGGTACTAAGTGAAACAAAAGAGAAGCCACACGTGTGGACACTCATACGTTGCCCATGTTCCGTGTATATTGTAGGGTAGGGTAAACCTGCTTGTAGGAATAGTGGTTACACTGTGTCTTCCTTTCCTTCTACCCCACCCCCTTAGGTCATTGATAAATGCTTGTTGATTTATTCTGCCCTCTCTACCTCACCCCCAAGCTGATTTAGTTTGTGGTGCCACCTGGTGGCCAATGCAAGAAATTTGTTGACCACACATTTCCCTTAGCTGCCCCTGTATTTTCTTTGAAGGGAATCATGTATACATATCTTGTTTCCCACCCTTTTCTTCTATACACAATTTTATGATTTAAACTCTACTTAATTCCACCTCAGGCAATTTCTTTTTAGCCATCTATTTTTTATTTTTGTTTTCATTTTTAAATTAACAAATCTGTTTTCTCTCCCTACATTCTACCCCATTGAAAAAGAAAGAAAACAAATTCCTTCATTGGCCAGATTAAAAAATATATTTTTGTCTCATTCTGTACCCTGATCTATCACTTCCCTGCCAGTAGGTGATCCTCTGAAATTATGAATGATCACTGGGTTAATCATAGTTCTTTTACAGCTTTCCAAATTGTTTGTCTTTATAATGTTATTGTTATGGTATAAATTGTGCTTAGTTCTGATCATCTTCATCAGATGATAAAAGTCTTCAAAAATGTTTTTATAGTATTGATGTTTTAGTATAAATTATTCTTCTGATTTTGCTCATTTCACTCTGTTTCCATTTATGTTTTTCTACATTTCTTTGAAATCATCTATTTCCTCATTTCTTATAGCACAGTAGTATTCCATCTTATTTATGTGCCATAGTTTGTTCAGCCACTCTCAAATGGATGGACATCTCCTTATTTTCTAGTTTTTTGTTTGCACATAAACAGCTACTCTAAATATTTTTGAACATATGTAATCCTCTTCCTTTGATCTCTTGGGTATAAGTATAGCTGAGTTAAAAGGCATGCCCTGGTTGGTAAATTTGTGTATAATTCCAGATTGCTTTGTATGTGAATGTACCCATTCACAGGTCTACCAATTTCTTTTTCACACAGACACACATCCCCTTTAATTCATTTTTTTCTCTAACTCTTTCCCTTTCCTTGGGAAAATATTTCATTACCTCACAACTCCTCTTCTTTCATTTATGTACCAACAAAAATCCTTACATATGGCTTATAAGTTATAAAAGTAGTGATATGCCTTTCCAGTTATAAGCAGTTATGTAAAAGGAAAATGTTACGTTTTAAAGTGAAGTTGGATATAATGAACAGCATTGTCATTCTCTAAAACCCCAGGTAATTCTGAGAAGTCCCTTTAAGGATCTTAGTCTTTAACATCTATTCTAATTAAACCTATTTTTTCTTAAGCATATTTGATTTGTGAAAAACTTTCTTTAAAAATTGCATTTCTTTCTGTTTTAATTACTTTATAGGGCTAGGAGAACTAGTACGGTACACCTACACATTGTCTGAGTGATGGGAGGAGCGCTGCAGCAGTGGGGAAGGGAGGGTCCTGGAGAGAAGGAGTTATTGCCTGTGTGTTCTTAGGCTCCAGGACATAAGCAGGCCCTGCCTGGCAAAATGATGCCTTCCTTTCGCATCATTCTGCTAGGCACTGAGGGGAGGCAACAGGTTTAAAAAAAAAAAAAAAAAAAGGACCACATTTGTCCTTTTCTGCTGTGAATTGTAGACCTAGTAGGAAATGCAAACAGTAAGAAATATGAAATATTTCTGAGCTTTACTACTCCTCACTGGGGTATTATGACTTGTTACAACCCATTTAGCTGTTTTTTTTTTCTTCCAGCTATTAAACTTTTTTTAATTTTCCTAACCACCTCCTCTACTTTCTCTCTAACAAAACCTTTGTAACAAATATACATAGTTAAACAAAGCAGATTTCCATGTTAACTATGTCCAAAAATGTGTGTCTCATTCTGTATATTTAGTTCATTACTTCTCTGTCAGGAAGTGGTTAGCATTCTATATCATTGGTCCTTTGAAACCATAATTGATCATTGTATTGATCAGATTTCTTAAGTCTTTCAAAACTGTTCATTTAAAATTTTTTATTATAAATTGTTCTCCTTATTCTGCTCCTCACTTTATATTATTTCATACCAGTCTTCCCAAGTTTTCTCTTTCACCCATTTCTTATAGCACAATGTCATTCCATTATATTCATCTGTTATAATTTGTTCAGCTGTTCCCCAATCATTGACTATCCTCTTAGTTTCCAGTTCTTTGTCACTATAATAAAACTTGCTATAAATATTTTTTATGTCAGACTTTTTCCTCTTAATTTGCTATCTTTGGGATATAGGTCTCAATAGTGCTATCAAAGAGTATGTACACAGTTTAGAGACTTTTTAGATATAGTTTCAAATTGCTTTCCAGAGTAGTTGGACCAATTTACAGTTCCAGCAGTACATCAGTGTGCCTGTTTTCCTTGAAGCCCTCCAGTTTTCCTGTTTTGTCAACTTTACTAATCTGATGGATATGGGGTAGAACCTCAGAATTCCTTTAATTCTCATTGCTCTAATTATTAGTGATTAGTAGCATTTTTTTCCATTTTTCCATTTCTGTAGCTCTAGATAGCTTGGATTTCTTCACTTGAGAACTTCTTGTTCATATCCTCTGACCATTTATCAATTGGGAATGACTCTTAGTCTTATAAATTTGAATCATTTCCTTATATATCTTGGAAATGAAACATTTATGAGAGAGCGTTGCTGCAAAAGTTTTTTTTCCTAGTTAACTTTCTCTTCTAATATTAGCTGATTTGTATTTGTGTAAAGCCTTTTAAATTTTATATAAAATCATTTTTATATCTTTGTATCTCTTGTTTGGTCATGTATTCTTCCTCAGCGTAGCTCTGAAAGGCAATTTCTTCCTTGCTTCTCTGATTCGTTTGTGATATGAGTTTTATATTTAAACCATGTATCTTTTTGGATTGCTATCTACTTTTCTCAGAAGTTTTTGTCAGATAGTGAGTCTTTAACCCATTAACGGGGCTTTAAAAAAACAACTCAATAAATCTTAAGAAACATCTTGGTGTAGTAGGAGAAAGGAATACAGTAGGATAGATGACTTGGGTTCTAGTGTTTTTTCTCTTCCCATTACTCTTTTGCCTCTTAATATCTGTGTGACCTTTGACAAGTAGTTAGCCATTCTGATCTTCTGTTCCTCAGTCAGGGACTGGATCAAATAAACTCTTAGGGTCCTTTCCAGGTCTCTGATTCTGTCAGTAGTTCTTAACTATTTCTTCAACAAATGAATGAAATCCTGACCTGTCATAACTTTTCTAAATATCTTCTTTTTTTTCTTTTTCAGAGTCTTCCACCAGCCTCAGTGGATCTGACAGTGAGAATGAGGAGAAAAGACCTGTATCTGGCTCCTTCAGCAATGACTTCAAAGCTGACTCCCTTGTGGAGGGCACCTCCTCCCGCTACTCCATGTACAACAGTGTTTCCCAAAAGATGATGGTATGTTAGAGTCTATGTTTTGGAAGGTTTGCCGTGGAATGAGAGAAGAGAAATCTACACTGGGTGTGGAGAGAGTTTTTCTAGCCACTTTCTAGATAGAGATTCTGGGGAGTATATGGCTACTTTTCTGAACTTAATGAGACGTCACACTAGTACATGTTAGAGATGAGTGCTAAGGAAAACTGAAGCAAGCAAATTTCTCTTGTTTTGGACAGAGGAAGACTCTTTTCTGGTTTCTGGAGACTTTGTATTTCAGTTATGTCAGGTTGTCTCTTCAGATGCACACACTCAGACACAGGTATCCTGTTATTAAAGTGCATTCTCAGGTATGTATTTGTAAGTGAATAGAAATTGTAGTCAGACTCCCTCACTGAAGTCTGATTTAATAAGATGACTGCTTTTTCAGAGGTTCTCAGCAACTTCTGGAGGCTATGATGAATGGGGAATATCTTTCTCTTTCTTCTTCCCAATCGGGGTTGATAAGGATTTTTCCAGTGGAAAGTCTTTCTTCTTGATTTTGTTTTGGGTTTTTGTTTTTCTGGTTTTTTTTTTTTTTGGTTGGGCAGTGGGGGTTTTAAGTGACTTGCACAGGGTCACTCAGCTAGTGAGTGTTAGGTGTCTGAGGCCGGATTTGAACTCAGGTCCTGCTGACTCCAGGACTGGTGTTCTATCCACTGTGCCACCTAGCTGCCCCCATGCAGGCTACTTTTTAAAATCCTGTTTGTCAGGTCTCTGTTGTGTTTGTACAGTAATGGGAATAGCTGATTCTGAAGTCATAGGCAGAATACAAATTTTGGGCTATAAATACTGAATGTGGGGAAATGGGAAATTTTGGGTTTGTGGCTCAGGGTAACACAGGAAAACGTAACTCCCTTAAACTTAGAGAATGATTTTGTGGATATAACAGGAACTTGATCAAGAGACTATGTTACTTCTTCCATGTGTGTCAATGGTGTTATGTCTCCTAGATGGAAGCTCATGTAAAAGGATGAATCCGTGGTAGAAATTATAGCTTCTGGAAACCTTCCTTGTGTCTCATTAGGTAGATGCATGCCACATTTGGGGAGTAGTTCCCCTTCCCTCAGGATGTATAGCTGATGAGTCCCCCCAGGATTTAGTTTAATCTTTGTGAGCAATTGTACCTTTATTACAGTTTCACCATACTAGGACCCTATTGTGCTTTTCAGACCTCAGTTTTACATGATGAAAGATTTAAGTTAATTATATGATTAAGCAGCTCATAGCACTCCTTGTTGCCCTTGCCTCGTGGGATTGTTCTTCTGAACCAGAGTGATGTAGAGGTTACTCCTCAAAGCAGTTTCATTTTAAATTATACTCCCTTTATCACTTCTATGCTCTGGATCTACTTTTCACTTAATCAGGAGAATTAGCTAGAAGGGCAGTCCTATGAACCTCCAGTGAGATTCATTAAATATTCCTGGTGCTTTAATTACAGCTTTGTGGTCCTTTCGCATTTATTCAGCTACCAGTTGGCCTGGATATACACTCAACTGAACGCAGTTACCATCACTAATTATCACTAATGATGCTCCATCATTTCTCTCTCTTTTTCAGGCAAAGATGGGCTTCCGAGAAGGTGAAGGTCTGGGCAAACACAGCCAGGGTCGGAAAGACATTGTTGAGGCTTCTAATCAGAAAGGTCGAAGAGGCCTAGGGCTGACACTAAAGGGTTTTGATCAGGAACTCAATGTGGACTGGAGAGATGAACCAGAGGTAACTAAAATTAAATTTTGTCTAGTTTTGGGCACCACATTTTAGTTGGGATGTTAACATTGGTGTGCACCCAAAGCAAGGGGGCTCAGGTAGTATGAAGGTTCTGGAAACCCTTTCATCTGAGGAATGTTTGAAAGAGCTGGGGTTATTTAGTTTGGAGAAGAAAAGACTAAGCGAAGGAAATGAAATTTGTCTTAGAATATTTTAAGGCCTCTGATGTGGAAAGGGGAATAGACTTATTCTCTGTTTCTTGGAAGAGAAAAAAACCTAGGACCATTTGGTGGAGGTTGCAGGGAAGCAGCTTTTAGTTCAGTGTAAGAAAAGGTCTCATAACGATTCAGGCTTCAGGAGAGTGGAAGAAGCTGTCCCATGAGGTCAATGAGCTTTCTGTAATTGAAAGTGTTAAGGCAGAGTCTGAATGATTTTAGATTAGGGAGGGGATTCTATGTTGATGTTGAGGTGGTCTAGATGACCACGAGGTGCCTTTTTAACGTTGAAGATTTTATGGTATCTTGATTCCAAATTTTGATTTATTTATCAGTTAGTCCCATGTGATATTTACATTGTGTTTATTCTTTTTGTCACAGTTTAGACTAGTTTGTTTTAGCTCTGATAACAAAAAAAATACACCTCTTTTTTTGTACTTATGATGTTGGTTGATATTTTATGTTTGTTCCTGATGCTCCAGTGCAAGGAGGAGAGAGAGATCCAGTGAGCATAGAAAATGATAAAAGCCTAATAAGGTTTCATCGTAAGGCACTGAAAGTCTGAGAGCTAATGAATTCTGGTGGTGGTCCTGCTGAGTTGCCTTGTGGCTGCTGGGGAAAAGACCAGCATGTGACAGTGAGGGTTTGAGTAAATATTTGTAATTGCTTGTTACATGTAGCCTTTCTCCTTAGAAGTACAGAATACTTTCCTTGGCCTCATTTGTATGGAAATATACAAAGATTCTGGGTATCCTTGGTAAAACAGAATTAGAATTGACTATTTAATCTCAAGTCTGGTAAAGCAAGCCTCCTATAATTGTGTTCTTAATGATTGGAAGGAATAGAACATTTGGTTGTGCCTGTTCTAAACTATATATATATATATATATATATATATATATATATATAATATATTAATGTTACATAATAATATATAAATAGTTTTTTTCTTTAGAAAAATTGCCTAAAACTGGCTTGCTTTACAGTCTAATATCCACATGGTATCCCCTAGAATCAGAGGCAACAGTAGGTGGTTGTCTTTATCTAAAGTCATAGTGTGGGACCTGGATTGGAAGCCTGTCAGTTGTGACTGGTAGCCTTCGGAGATTTTCAGTAATCGGGGGGCCTAGTGTGTGTACTATCCTGCAGCCAGCCTTTGTCAAGCAGTCATGTCAGCCTGTAATATCATCTTAGAACTTTTGTAAAGTATGATATTACTTTTTAAAAAATTTATTTTTATTAATGTCTTTTGTTTTTATATTACATAAATTTACAGATACATTCCTTCCTCCTCTTTTTCAGGGAGCCATATTTCAGAAGAAAGATTTTTTAAAAAAATAGAGAAGAAAAAAGCAGTTAGCTAAGCTAGTCAACATAAGATATGGGTGTTACTTTTAATGTAACTTGTAAGGGCAGTTGCAGAGCCATGTGTGACCCCAGAGCTGGTCATGTCTGACCTCATTTTGTGCATTAGAGTTTGCCACTTCTCTGTTAAGAGGACGGAGTTAGGTTTTGTCATTAGCCTCATAGAGTTAAAGTTGGCAAAGTGCTGATTTTTAACTGAGATGTCTCCAGATGACTTGAAGTAGAACTTCATTTAGTTGGCTTCAGGTCACGTTGTGAATAATGCTTTAGAAAAAGGCCAAAAGAGAGAGCTGCTTCATATCTGTGATCTTTCCGGATTTCTGGTGGAGGAACTCTTAAGGTTTGGAAGGCAATTTCAAGGCTCAAGAGGTTAGCTTAGAGCTAGAAGTTTTCTTCAAAGGTTGGAACTTAAACAACATACTGGTTCCCAGCTTTGATCTATGTTTATTCATTCTTTACTTGCTTAATGGCATGGTAGAATTGAAAGACCTGGGTTTGAATCCTGATAAATCAGGTTCTTCATCTATAAAATGAGAGAATTGAATTGAAAAGTACTCAAAAGTTGCTTCCAACTCTAAAATCCTATCATGCTATTAACTCTATTCCACATTCCCTTTTTCCCCCTTTCCATGCTAGAACCTTTTGCTTCTGGTTTGATTTAGAACATTAGAGAGCCTGGATTCCACCAAGGATTCCTTTGCAAGACTGCCAAGCTTACCCATCTATTTTTGCTCTGTTTTGCAGCCAAGTGTCTGTGAACAGGTGTCATGGTTCCCAGAATGCACCACTGAAATTCCTGATACCCAAGAAATGCGTGAGTGGATGACTGTGGGAAAGGTAAGGTTGAACACAGAGAATACCCTTCATTTTTGACACTAGTCGTCTAAATTTTCTTCATCTCACCTGTATTTTATACAACAGTGCAGGTTAGGCAGGTTTGTGAGAGCTTAACTATACTGTCAAGAGCCAAGTTTCCTCAGAAGGTTAGCTTTTATTTGCCTGGGAGGCCTGGCATAGTTTTCCTTGGATCAGTTAACTTATTGGTCAGCACAGAATGCCGAGTTCCTCTCTTTACTGTTGCTTTTCTCAGCCATCATCTGATGGAATTTATCAAATATACACATATGTTTTAGACTGTGCGGAATATCCTTTCTGCCAGATAGTTGAATAGTTAACAGTCCTTACCATCAGGCAGCATGTGGAAGAATGAGGGGCTAGCTAGGGAAGTTGTAGAATCTCCTCCTGAAGAATTTTAAGTATAAAGCAACCAAATGCCTCTTTAAGATAATAACCCTGGGAAGCTCCTTTGAAGATGCTGGAGTTGGACCTTTATAGTCTCTTGAGCTATAGTCTCTTACAGCCATGTAAGACAGGATTCCATTAGGCTCTCTTTTCCTATTCTTTCTGACGTATGTTTTAAGAGTTATCTCTGGAAGGAACCTTAGAGACCATATAATCCAGCCCTCTCATTTTTACTGATGAGGAAACTGAGTTTCAGAGCATTTAAGAGACTTTTATACCTCTCTTCTGTTTGCCTTAGTTTAACACAATGCTTGGCACATAGTAGATACTTAATAAATGCTTATTGACTGACTGACAAGCTGTTTTTGGTATCTTGAATACAGCCCCTCTTGCCTTTCAGAATTCTTATTCGGTGTATAGCCCAGGTGACACCTCTCCTGAGAAGCTTTCCCTGATTTCCCCACCCATCCACCCCCATCTTTAGTGTTCTTTCCCTTCTCAAAGTTTCCTAGAATACTTGGTCTGTTTTCTTTCTCGACCTCTTCTGTCCCACCCTACACTGTATTATATTTACCTGTTTTTTTATTTTTAACACCCTCCCCCCACCCCCCCACCCCAGCTCCTTGAGCTAAAAAAAAATTTTTTTTTTTTTTGCCTTACTCCTTGAACTATAATTAATGAATATTCCTTGAATTGAATTGCCCAAGGTCAAAAAGAATAAGCAGCACCAGTACTCAAATGCAGACTTTCTGTTCTGTGTTCTTTCCTGCTTTACTTGTCTAGGAGATTATAAATTCCTGGAAGGCAGGCAAGGTCCTTTATTATTTCTCCTATATCTGAAGAAGAACTTTTAAAAACTTTTTACATATACTTGACATGGACTTGCTCTCTTCTCTTGTACAAATACAGCAGTCTCTGATTGCTCTTTTCAACCATTAGGAGGCACTACGTATAGAAAGCGTTCTTTTAATATTTAACATTTAAGGAAATGCAGTTAGAAATTTCTTTTTTATTAAGTAAGAATAATCATGAAGAACCTTCTAGAATTGATATGACAACACTTCACATACTTCTTTTTATTTAATAATACATTGAGATATGAGATCTTTCTGGGATAACTGCATATTTTAAGATGTGTTAAATATTTAACTTATGCTGCATATAAAGTAAAAAATGGTGAGTATAATCATTTAGGGTCATATATCTCTTTTAAATATGAGTATCTTAAATATCTTGAAACTAAAAGTTATATAGATGAGCTGACTGCTGCACATACTTTATCCTGATTCCCAATTGTATGTAAAGTACCCCTTTTATCAAAGGAGGAATTAAGGAAGGTAAGTGACTTTGAAGTTAGGAAACACAAACATGCAAAACCACACAGATTGAGGAATATGAAAAAGGACCCTTTCCAGCTTCTGTTCTAGTGACCTTCCTACCTGGATACTTTATTGCTCAACAGTACTAGAAAATACTTAAGAACCTTTTAATGAAATAAAGCTACAGGAGGTAAAAAGCAATTATCCAAGTTCTAATTTGGCTATATATTAAACATTCTTGTTCTTGCAAGATGCACTACAAGATTTTTCATAGTAACTAATGAGTAGGATAAGGTTGAGCATAGCTCTCTAACCCTGGTTCTTCCCTATTCTTTACCTTTCTTGAGCTCTAGGGAAAGACAATTTGAATGTCTTTCTTCCTATTTGCTTTCTCTAATAACAATAAACGTCTTATCTGTGTGGTACTTTAGTCCCTTGACAAATTTATCTTATACCTACAGCTGCCAGAAGGATTTAGGATCTTTGTCCTTTCTCCTCAGGGAATGAAGTACCTAGTTACTACCTAGTTCAAGTTAGTGATTTGAATCCTGACTCTCTCAACTCATTTGGAGGCATGTCAAAGGAACATGGACTTTGTCAACTTCATATCTCCCAGGGAACTTGATCAACTTCTAGGCCTGGTTAAAATTGTCTCTCAGGATGACTAATCTTGTCTGTGAAAACCGTATAGACTTTGTGGTTGACTTCCATTAGTCTCTCTGTACCCTCACATAGTTGCTGCCACCCCAGGTATCTTCTCATTTGGTCTTTACTCTTTTCCCCTCACCGCCCCCCTCCCCCATATTAGTCAACAGACTTTTATGAAGTGGCGCAAATCCACATGATGTCTGTTCTGTGGTGGTAGTCACTGTGCTTGGTGCTGAGGCTATAAAGACACAACAAATGAGGTAGTTGATGCCTTCTGGGATCTTACATTCTATTAAGGGAGACAATGTGTACATAGTCAAATATGTACAAAGTAAAGACAAAGTATTTGGGTGGGGGAGGCACTAATTGCCTGGAGGATCAGAAAAGTCTTCATGTAAACCTCAACTACAGTTAAGGCTTAACATGGGTTTAATGTCATAAAGACTGGATAAAATTGTCAAATGTATATGTGAGACTTCCTGAGAGAGAAGTTACTGAATGTGCTGGTCCAAATTCCAGAGTTCTGTACAGCTTCTGTAACTAAACTAAGATTCATCTTCTCTCTGAACCTCTTGTCAGACTCCTGTCTGTCTGTCTGCAGTCTATATCCGGTCGTCTGTTCTTCCCCCATATCCCATGTGTTTCTCATCTTACTCAGTCACAGTGCAACCTTTAGCATGTAGCCTGTCCTTCAAAAGTGTACCTCTTACAGACTTCAAAGTTGAAAGTATATACTATGATTATAATTCCTCCAATATCATTTCTTTAAGAAGCCAACTCCCCTTTCTCAGTTGTCCCCTGATTCTAGTTAAGCATGATAATGATTTACTTTTTTCTATGCCTTTGTATCAGAGGAAGATGATAATTGAAGATGAAACTGAATTTTGTGGGGAAGAGCTTCTGCACAATGTCCTGAAGTGCAAGGTATAGTGTCTGGCACACAGTAGGCACTTAAATGCTTGTTGAATTGGAAGGTAAGGCCTTTCTCCTGGAGGTAGATTCAAGAGCTCCGATTTAGCAAGCTGCTCTGTGAGCTCTTTACTGGGTAGGCTGAGGAGAGATTATTCATGCATATACATTCCTCAGGTTTTTTCTTAGGTTAAACAGATTTTTTTTTCAGAGAAGAACTCTAGATTGGCATTAATGAACCCTTCCCATTTTTCTAAGGTATCCTTTAACCTGCTTGTTCTTTCTGGTAATTTTCCTGTCCTGTGTCACTGGAGTGATCCAGTAACTACTTTTGGAGGCAGAAAGAATGGGATTTGGGTAATAGTGATTGGAAAAGGGAAAAAGTTGATGGAGAAGGCGAAATCTCTTGGCTTAGTCTATCCTCTACAGAGTTTTTTGTTTTTGTTTTTTTTTTTTTTTGCTGTGAATTGTCTTTCCTGGGACTTGGCTGGCAAAAGGCTCAGCATTTAGGGCACTTTGTCTCTGGAATGGGACACAGATGAAGATGGAACTTTTCTTTTTCTGGATGCCAGGAATTACCAAAAAATCACAATCTCATTTCCCCCCCCCCCCCCTTTATAATTAACAGTCTTCCAAAGAGCTGAGTTTGAGTGATCCTTAGAATATTAACTCTTCCCTTTGGGAAGGAGAAACAGCCAAGTATGAGATGTGGGAATTAGCAACAGCAAGAGAGACTTCTGTGCACAGCACTAACCCAGGCCTCTGGAGGGTTCTGAAGGGGAGACAGTCAGGATCCTCAGGTCTTTGAGGGTTCCTATGGCTGAGACATTGGTGTGATGCTCATTTTGTATTTCTGGTTTTCTATTGGCAGAGTGTGTTTGATGATTTGGATGGAGAGGAGATGCGTCGAGCTCGGACCAGGTCCAATCCCTATGAAATGATCCGGGGAGTCTTCTTCCTAAACAGGTTTTGTGAGCACTTTTCTCCCTGTACTTTTTCTGTCTTTTCTTTTTACCTGAGCCTCAGCTTCAGGGTGGTTTGAGTATAATAAGTTACAATTTTCCTCTTTTGCTATGTTGCAGAGCAGCAATGAAAATGGCCAATATTGACTTTGTATTTGATCGTATGTTTACGAACCCAAAGGACTCATTGGGGGTAAGACTCAGTCTTTCTTTACTTATGATTCTATGGTACCACATGGCTCTAAGCTCAAAATTGGCCACTTGTTAAAATCTGGGAGGATGATGCAGTTGAATGGTTCTTATGGGCTCTGCCTTGGACTTCTCTGTGGTCCCCAAAGGTAGGCTAACTAAAAAGTACCTCAGGCAGCAACTACATCCAGGTATTCAGGTGTAAGCCTCTGTCCTCCTAAGTGTGTAGAACCTGTTACTTAGTGCAGGCCAGGTGGCCAAGGGTCAAGATGCTTCCTGAGTTGAAGCAGTCTGTACAGGCTTAGGCCCCCGAAAATGAGAGAGCCATGATTGGCAGAGCAGTGTTCCTTTAAAAGAGGCCATGGGGAAAAGGGAAAATCTCAAGTCGGTTCTTGCTGTAAATGGTAGTGGTGGTAGACATGCAGAGAGTGAGAAATCTGAAATCATCCCCTGTTAGTTTTTGCCTAGGTTTTTTGTGTCAGGCAACAAATCCAAATGACTTTTCAGAAGTATCATGATGTCATAGAAGGAAACACTGTTCCGGCAAGCAAGAGATATTGGTTCTTGTCCCCACCTTCAGTTGCCGCTTAGTCCTTAGGTGACTTTGGGGAAAATAACTAACTTCTCAGAGCCTTAGTTTACTTATAAAACATATAAAACAAGGATAAGGATATCCTCCTTAAGGGAGGGGGTGAGACTAAATGACTTCTTGAAATCCTAAATATACAAACATAAACATACATTGCAAAAGGCAATAAATATGTGTATGTACGTAGGTAGATAGGTATATATATCTATGTACACGTGTATGTATATGTATGGTTGCCTTTGGATTTGTGGGTACAGCTTGTAATAAAAAGGATTTTTACCCACTCAGAATTGCTAATTTAATAAAATTCATCCTACTCCTCAAAAGATAAAGGCTTTTGTTTGTTTTTGTTTTTTGTTTTTTTTTGGTGAAGTAGTTGGGGTTAAGTGATTTGTGCAGTTGTGCAGCTAGTGAGAGTTGTGTGTCTGAGGCTGAATTTGAACTCAGGTCCTCCTGATTCCAGGGCCAGTGCTCTATCCACTGCACAACCTGGCTGCCCCTAAGATAAAGGCTTTTGAAGCCTACCGATATATAACTAACCTTTGTCTTCACATACCTTTTGATTGTTAGAATGCTAGAGACTTGCTTTCTGAGGTCTCATATTTCAGCTTATACTTCGCTAGCTGCTTCACAAGTGTGCATGCTCATTGGTAGACCCAAGTATCCTACAGTCATTTCCCTCTCCTAGGCGTTTCTGTACTTCCCAACTGCAGTAGCCAGCAGGAAAAGACTGTTAGAATTGGTGCTTTGAGAAAATTTAATTGGAATAATGATGATTTAGTTTTCTAAGTTCCAAATGATTTCCCTTTAGCCCCTGATAGCAGAGGGATTCTGTCAAGTTTATGGGAAAGCACAGTATCATTCTGGGCTTTTAAATGTAAATACCTCCAGCACCTGTTACCTGCTTATTGCCTTTTGCTGAAATGAAAATGAAGAAGTCACTAGGACAATACCACTCATAAACTGTGGGTAGAAATGTTAGTTATACAGAGAAAGGTGTTTGTGTTGTTTGGGTCAGGGTAGTTTCTTGGCTTGAATTGGTTGCTAATGGCCATAGAAAATTGTCCTTTAAGAAGCGTTTCTCCCGATTCCTCAAGGAGAGAGTGCTAGGTGTTTTCTTCTGTCTTCTCATGTTTGCTATTGCCTCAAGACCAAATTGAGAACCAGACTGAGCAGGCTTGTTGTTTTTTTCCTGGAGAGCACAATAGAACCTTTAGCAGGGACAACAAGCTGCACTCTTTTTTTTTTTTTGGCAGTTGGGGTTAAGTGACTTGCCCAGGGTCCTACAGCTAGTAAGTGTCAAGTGTTTGGTCTGAGGCCGGATTTGAACTCAGGTCCTGCTGACATCAGGGCTGGTGCTCTATCCACTTTGCCATCTAGCTGCCCCAACGAGCTGCATTCTTACAGCCAACCCTCTTGGAGGATGAATTGCCCTTGTGCTAGTCAGGTTTGCAGAATCCAAGCTCAGGGACCCTTGAAGGTTTGGGGGGATGGGAGTTGAGGGTTCTTGTAGGGCTTCCTGGGACTAGAAGATGCTGCTCTAGAGAATTTGAGAACTATGGAAAACAAGGAAGATAAAGTGTAAGGCCTGAAGGACACAAAAGAAATCAAGGAATTTTAGCTGTTCCTTAGTAGGGTAGAGAGAACCTGGAAGAGAAATCATCAGGACAAAGAAACACTGACTCTGGAGTATAATAAGAGGTAAGATAGGGAAAAAGCTGAACTTAGGTGTTTAAGTATTTTTTTTTAAATAATTAATTTATTTTTAGTTTTCAGCATTACTTCCATAAGATTTTTAGTTTTAAATTTTCTTTCCCTCCTTCTCCTCCCCAAGACTTCGTGTAATCTGATATAGACTCTGCTTATAATTCATATTAAGCATATTTTCCCATTAGTCATGATGTAAAGAAGAATTAGAACTAATGGCAGGAACCTCGAGAATGAAGCAATAAAACAAATAACAAAAGAAAAGGAGAGCAAATAGTATACTTCCATCTACATTCTGACTCCATAGTTCTATCTCTGGATGTGGATAGCATTTTCTTTCCATCGTGAGTCTTCTGGAATTGTCTTAGATCCCTGCATTGCTGAGAAGAGCCAAGTCTATCAAAGTCAGTCATCGCACAGTGTAGCTGTTAGTGTGTACAATGTTCTCCTGGTTCTGCTCACTTTCCTCAGCATCAGTTCAAATAAAGTCTTTAAGTTTTTTTTTTTAATTTTTAAAAATTTTTTTTATTAATCCATCCAGATTCATCAGCAATCACCTCCACATGCCTCTGAGCTTAAAATTTTTCTCCCCTTTCCTCCTCACCACCCTTAGCACCCTCAAGCCAAGATGGTGCACAATCCAATATAAGCCATACATCCACATTCCCACCCAAACACACCTACACACTAGTGATGTTGTAAGTAAAAATCAAAACCAATAGGAGGAACCATCAGAAAGAGGAAACAAAACTCAACAGAAGAGAAAAAAAAGTTGCAGTTCAACTTCCATAGTTCTTTGTTTGGATGTGGATAGCATTTTCCATCACAAGGCCTCTGGAGATGTCTTAGATCCTTGTATTACTGGGAAGGGTTAAATTTATCAATATTAGTCATCGCACGATGTGGCTGTTACTATGTACAATGTTCTCCTGGTTCTGCTCACTTCACTCAGCATCAGACCATACAAGTCTTTCCAGGTTTTTCTGAAGTTAGCCTGTTTATCATTTCCTACAGCACAACAGTATTCCATTACATTCATATACCACAACTTGCTCAGCCATTCCCCAGTTGATGGGCATCCTCTCAATTTCCAATTCTTTGCCACCATAAAAAGAGCTGCTATGAATATTTTTGTACATGTAGGTCCCTTTTCTGTTTGTGTTATCTCTTTGGGATATAGCCCTAGAAGGCTATTGCTGGGTCAAAGGGTATGCACATTTTTTAGCCCTTTGGGCACAGCTCCAAATTGCTCTCCAAAATGGTTGGATCATTTCACAACTCCACCCAACAATGCATCAAGGGTCTTTAACTTTTAATTCTGTCCTAAAGAGTCTTAGCCTTTTGGGCATTTTTGAAACTGTGTCCTAGAAAAACGGAAGAGAAAGAAAACAAGAAAAAAATGTGGTCAATATTGGTTCCATAGAACTGATGTTGTAACACACTTCTTGTTAAAGAGATGCAAACCATTATTTATAGTTTTACATTATATTATAGATTTAAGCTTAAAACTGCACCAAGACTTTTGCGATGTCCTATATACTCTGTCAGTAATGGCCTCTGTATCAAGACAATTTTGTTTTTCTGTTCTGTCTTGCTTTTTTGACACAAATACATTCATATAAGGGAGGTACTGGGGAGGAGTTATTGGGAAGCATTTGTAGTGTGTAGAAGGAAATTCTGTACTCTGTGCTTTAGGCACACACTTGCCAGCAATAATTTTTATACATTTAGTTTTAAATAATTCCAAATATTTCTTCTTAGAGTGAGATCAAGAGATTATTAGAGTATTTGAAAATCTCAAACACGATACATTTTGGAATTAAAGTTTATAATATTTGCAAAAAAAATAGACAGAATTCCACAGTTAAGATTCAGTAAGGGTTCAGAGTATAGGTAAGAGTCTCAGAATAATAGTAATTTAAAATATTGGTGGGATCATTAAATCCTTTTTTGACCATTCCTGGAAAATGGGGATTCTTCTTTTCACCTGGCCAAAGATAAACTCATGAGCTAGCTCCATTATTTGAAGGAATCAAATTCCTTTGTAGTCTGACTAGTACCTGGAGTTGGTCCAGACGTAAGAAGGTCCCCAGCTTTCTACCTGTCACCTCCTTCCTCAGCTTTCAGCCATTTTCCTTAAAGGAAGTGTTAGAAGATAAAGGTTTTTGTTCAGGGCATTGTTTCTGAATTGGCAGTTTAAGAAATATTGCCAGGAATTTCTCATTCAGATTGGATCCAGGGCTTCAGACTAAAATCCTGTCCAACATTGTCTTGTAATAAGTAACCTGAAGAAGTTGGGGGTGGGGGAAATGTCGGTAGTTTTCCCAGCTGTAAACAACAAAATGAATCAACAAAACATTTTTTAGAAATATTGGACGTGGCCTTGTACATAAGGAACTAAACTTAAGAAGCCTGAACTAAGTCTAGTCAAGTGATAGATGAAGCTATTTCCCTCTCATAAATAAGTCATATATGTTGAAATCTCAGAACCTTAGACTGAATTGAATTTTCTTTTTAGAGGTGGTGATTATCTTCATTGGTCCATCCCCATGCTTCCACTCTTCCTTGTGCATCAAATTTGTTAGACTGAGTCAGTGGCAGAAGAAAACTGGCTTGTTCTTTTCAAAACCAACTGATCATATAGATCTTAAATCCATGACCACGGCCTCATTAGCACTGTGCTCTTGCTACTTGAGCTAACCAGGGCTTACATAGAAAGTGTCTTACTGTGTAAATGCCACTAAATCTTTTTCATTTGTGCAAATAAGTGCCGGTGAATATGGACTAAACAGAATACAGGAGTCCTGAGGGGATCTCAGGCAGGGAAGTTGGGACACCTCAGAACTCGTGTGCCACTGCCTACCTGAGACACAGGGTGGGATTTTTCCAAGGAAACTTGAGCAGGCTTTTGAAGCCTGTTCTTGGTTAGCACCTGCTGCATTCAGAAGCTCCTTATCTGGAGGTTCTCTCATTACTTAGGGAAAGCTCAACTGCCATCACTAGGGTTCCCTTCTTGTACCCTCTTCCCCCCTTCCCTCCAAAGGGACTACATTTTGGAAATTACCAGCTGTTTCCTTTGTTTTAACTATGCTTTCAAAGCCATTTGATTTCCAGTTAGAAATATGTTAGAGCTCTGAATGCTTATTCCCCCAGTGTAAGGGTATGAATTATCCCCATTCCTTTGCTTTTTGGCAGAGTGCTTTGTGAAGATTGCAGATGGTTAGGAGTTCTCTCCCATTTTTTATTGTACTCCATAGAAACCTGTCTCATAGTCTTCAAAACTTATAACAGTCTCAGCATTTTCCAGTCATCAAGACAGTGATAAAATTTTTCCTCCTTTGCAGATCAGAGAGAATAGCTGTGTGAACCTGGGAAAGTAATTTAATCACCCTCAGTCTCAGTTTCCTTATCTGTAAAATGGGAATAGTAATAGCTGTAGCTGCAGCCTCACAGGATTGTTCTGTAAATCAAATGGACTAGTGTACTTCAAGCACTTTACAAATCTTAAATTGATATACATGTGTTGATTATTGTGATTATTAAAGCGCTAGTGATGAGCAGGAATATTTCTACCACCTTTTAAAGGAGTATTACAGGCCGCATGGTCTGATCTAGGGCTTAGGCTTGACTCATCTTGCAGGATGAAACAGTGCTCCTGGGCACTCTTGGCAATTGGGATGGCATAAGTAGGGGAAAAGGGAGAAGGGAAAAGCAGGGCAAGTGGAAGGTGATGGAAGGTATGGAAGCAAGAGGAATGAAGGAGAAGATGCATGTGGTAATGAGAGAAGAGTACCAGTGACTACAGCTTTAGTTACTCATTCCTTTTAATGGAAAGATTAAAGGCCAGGATTCAGAAAGTCTGGGTTTTAGACATCTCCTGTTAACTGTCTGGCTGACCTTGAATAAGTCATTTAACTCTCATTTTTTCCAGGAATAAATGGTAATGCTTTGTCTTGTGTTCTTCATGGGGTACTTGTGAAGATACAATGAAATGACATGGGGGAAAATTTTTTGAAAAGAAAAAAAGGCCAAATTCTAGGAATAACTGATTGTATTGTAATTTTTATTAGGGAGTTGATTTAGTAGTTATAGAAAAGGCTTGAGAAGCTGTGCTGGAGAGGAAGCATCTCCTGCCTATGGATGGAAATCTGTAGCATTAGTGAGAGAGGATCTTGCAGAGATTGGGCTTGGTGCAGTGGTCTTGGAACCAAATTTTGCTAGTTTAGTGAGAAAACAGTTCTTTCCTTCTTTCCCTTTAAATAATCCCTACTGAACTCCTTTCTTCTTCTCTTCTCTCCTTTCCACTCCTCTCTTCCTTTTCCCGTCTTTTCTCATCCTCCTTTTATAGAAACCCCTGTTGAAGGACCGGGATCCAGAGCTTCTATACTTTGCTGATGTATGTGCAGGCCCTGGCGGCTTCTCTGAATATGTGCTTTGGAGGAAGAAGTGGCATGCAAAGGGCTTTGGAATGACCTTGAAAGGGCCCAATGACTTTAAGCTGGAGGATTTCTATGCAGCTTCCAGTGAACTCTTCGAACCCTACTATGGTATGCATTATGGAGAGGGGAATTAATCTTCTCAAAGGAGAAATGGTCCTGAAAAGGCTCCTGTGTTGTAAAAGTGAAACACTATCCTGGCAGTTGTGTCAGTCTTGTTTGGCTCTTTTGTCTTGGGGTCCAAGCAATTAATAATGATCATGATAATAATAATAATAGTAACATTTATATAATGCTTTAAGGTTTGCAAAGCACTTTACAAATATCCTATTTGATCCTCACAGCAACCTTGGGAGGTATGTGCTTTTTTTTAATCCCCAATTACAGATGAGGAAACTAAGGCAGGTAGAAGTTAAGTGACTTGCCCAGGGTCACACAACTACTAAGTGTCTGAGACTAGAATAGAATTCAGCAGCTCACCATACCAGCACGTGCTTGTTTCCTTCTCTGTCTGGTTTCTCTACTTCAGTTCAGCTGCATATGGTTTAAACACCAATCACAGCAAATTCTTGTCAAAGTTATTCATTCTTCCCTTTCAGAGGGAACTCTTTGCTTATAGTAACAGAAAGTAATGAAACTATATAATCTTTTGCTGAATGATGGCATTTTTATTAAGAAATACAGATCCTGTTCTTTTGCCAGCTCTTGAGAGTGGAATGTTATTTGGTGATGGATAGCCCACTTTCTGCATCTATCTGTCCTGATTGTTCTGGGCTTGCCACCATATCTGTCCAGACCTCTTTATACCTAATGTTTAGTAGGAGTAAAGGAAGAGAAACCTTCTCATAAGCCAGCAAATAAATCTAGAAAGAAACATCACTTTTTAGATTTTGTTGATACCTTTATTTTTTGTATCACAGTCATGTCTGAAATATGCCCCGCCCCAACCTAGTAAGCCTGCCTTCATAACAACCACAGGAACAGCAAATTAAGCAAAACCCACTAACCCATTGTTCCTGACAGTGTATGCAACGTTCCATGCCAGCAGGTCTCCTGCCCCCTGCCCTTTACACAGAAGGAGGGAAGTGAGCATAAATTTGGGGAAAAGATTTCAATTTCAAAGTTACTGCTTTGAAAATGAGGTTAAGAAGTACCTTCTGTTTCATAGAAAACTCATTTTTAATGACTCTTATATGAAGAATCCTCTCAGTCCCATGAATTGATTTTATTACACAAAGTCTGTGTTGAGCTTCATGATGAGGACAGTGTAATGAGGGCCCTCACGTAGGAATTCCCTCCCCAAAGGATTAAAGGATGCCTACCTACCTTCGGGCACTGTCCAGAAGAACTGTGTTTACTAGTCCCTAGGAGGGCAGTTGGTAGATGGACTAACCACATTATGTCTTACTAGGTGAGGGCGGGATTGATGGAGATGGAGATATTACTCGACCAGAGAACATCACAGCTTTTCGAAATTTTGTTCTGGATAACACCGATCGCAAGGGTGTGCACTTTATGATGGCTGATGGGGTAGGTGATATCTCACTCTGTGAGAAGTTCATGTCTTGCCACAGTGCTTCTCTGGGGTTGCATTCCTAGTAAAGGGTTAAGATTGGATTATGTTCTCTTCTGACAGAAGCCCTTGTTTAGGATGGGCATTGGTCTCTTAGGTGTAGCTCAGGTCTGGGGTGGGGGGAGGGAGTGGGTAGGTAGTGCTATTTTGCTATGTGTATGTGATTTTGTGAAGGCCAGGGTCAAGGCTGAGGGGAGGGTTATGTGCACTGCTTCCCTTGGAGCAAGCTGGTATACTCAGCTCTCCTCTTGTTTGGCTCTGAGACATGGCAAGTTAAGGAATAAATATAACTAAAATGAACCAGCCAGAAACCAAATAGGGAAAAGTCATAAATTATTTGTCAATTTCAGTATTTCTGACAGCCCTTTTTGGATATGTGCTATCCAGATTTAGCTGGTTTCAGAACTGTTTGACAGGTTGACAAGCAGAGATCCACTTAACACCCTGTCTTCAGCCCTCCCCTCTTAGTGCCGGGGGAGGAAGACAGTAGTGGCATGAAGGCAATCTGTAGTGGGAATCTACAAGTAGTTGAACTGTGGTGAATTGCTCAGGGACCCTGTTTCCAGGGCAACTCTTTAAGGGAGAGAGAGAAATCCATTGTAGTTTTCTTAGGCAAAAAGATTCAGTCACTGCTAATTCAACCCTCCAGAGAATCTTTGTACCGGGCCAGGGCCAAAGAATGCTGGTTTCAGTTCCTTTTTTCCTAGGACGAAAGAGGAAAGCCTTTTAAGGGACTAGTTTTAAGATAAATGCCAGAAGGTACTCCAAACATCTTCTGTGTGATGTGTAGGTATAATTAGGAGCCTCAGAAGAGTGAGGGCAGCATGTCAAGGATAGCCTAATTTAAAAGATGTGGCACAACTGTGGTTGGCAGATAAGACCAACCTGAGGAACATTGAGCAGTTAGGAAACTAGCTTTGATCTGACTGGGTATGGGACTGATATTATACATGGTGGTAGGAGCCACAAACTGAAGGACTGTCTTTACTTTCATGCACATCTTCAAATTGGGAAAGTCCTACATATTTTTGGTTTTGTCTCTTCTGGATGTTAGCCCAGATGAGCTGAGCCAGCCTTTCCTGGCATGATTCTTACTGAGGCTTTGAAAGAGACCAACTACCTTGCTGCTTTGATGAGGCTAGGTCTATGTTCCCCTCATGGAGCCCAGGAAGAAGGAAATGACGTTGAGATATCAAGGACATTTAATGACCAAGGACTCAGACCAGCAAGTGAGCCAGTTAAAGTGGGAAATGGATCCCTGGGAAAAGAGGCATTATGGCATAGAGAAATTATTGTTTATTGTTATGTTAGAACCTTCTTTTTCATAACTATACTTAGAAATCTTTTGAGTCACCTATATAAGGACTGTTGAGTAGTCCTGAGTGGAGGAGCATTCGCAGGATACTTGTTCCCTGGGTTGCAGGTGAGACTTTGCTGGGGACCCTGGAGTAGTGTCTCATCTTGCCATGCTTGCTCAACTTCTGGCTAGGCCAACAATGTAGTTCTGTTCTCTCTGATTTCCCTCCTTGGACTGCCATGACAGCTTAAAGGGCTGCCGACTGGTAAAGGAAGCTCTGTGTATCCCCTGAAACTTTCATTGTGTTGGAAAGAACACTGCATTAGAAGTTGGGGACCCCCTGGGCTGGAGTCTAGTTTGGGCAAAGTTATTTATCCTTGGAGTCTCAGTTGCCTTCTGGCAGAAGGGTTAAGAATTCCTATGAAGGAGGTAAGGTAGATGTTTTGTGTCTATGAAATTAAATAATGGTGATATGAGTACTTTGAAAAAATACAAAGTGCCGTAGTATATGTGGTGTTATTTTAAGTTTTCATTGCCCATTCGTGGTCCTTAATTTTGTATTTTCCTTTCAGGGTTTTTCTGTGGAGAAGCAAGAAAACCTGCAGGAAATCCTTAGTAAGCAGCTATTGCTATGCCAGTTTCTCACAGGACTGTCTGTTATCCGCACAGGTAACACTTTCTTCCTCAGTTGTCTCATCACTTCAGGCCTCTCTCCAGAGTCACTCTTGTGTTGGGACTGAATGAGGGGTGAAAGGAGCACTTTATAGCGGTCATAGATACAAGTACAAAAATACCTGTTTGTTCAGATGACAATACATGGTTGAATTCAGGGAAGGAAGGTGAGAGGAACCTTCAAAAATCCTTTATAACTGATGCCCTAATCCATCTACACCCTCTCGAGCAGCCTACTTGTCTGTGTTTGCCTTCCCCTGCCCTTTGTTTACATGACTCCCTGTGACATTCCTTCTTCTCCTTGCACCTTCCCTTGAAAACGCACTGATTATGACTGTTTCTACTCTAATCTAGGAGATTATCTGTTTATTGCTTATCTGTTTCTCTCTAATCCAGGAGGCCACTTTATCTGTAAAACCTTTGATTTGTTCACGCCATTCAGCGTGGGACTCATCTATCTGTTGTACACCTGCTTTGAACGCGTGTCTCTTTTTAAGCCTGTCACCAGCCGGCCTGCCAACTCAGAGAGGTGAGGTCCCCCTCCTCTCCATAGGCCTGTCTCTCTGATAGCATTGCTCAAGTAGCATCTCTAGGTGCCTTTCCCTGACATGACAGTGAAAGATGGTGAAATGTTTTCCAACTGGGCACTGAGGTCTTTACAACATCATTGCCTAAACTAATTTGGCCATGAAATACCTTTGGGCCACAATTGGCTGTCCTCAAGTATTTGTAAGCCTGTCATATAGAAGAAGAATTAGGCTTGTTCTGCTTGTTCCCGGACGGCAGAATTAGGAGCAATTGGTAGAAGTTAAACAGAGAAAGATAAAGGCTTTAAACAAGGAAAAACTTCCTAACTAAGCCATGCAAAAATGAAATGGCCTGCCCCAGGGCAGTGGAACTTCCCTCCTTGAATGTCTCCTGAGTCCTTCCAGCTCTGAGATGTCTGTGATATGAAGCACAGTTTAATAGAAACCCAGGCTCCAAGATTTATCAATCATATGACCATGGGCAAGTAACTTAACTTTTGAACTTCAGTTTCTTTTTCTATAAAATGGGCATAATAATACTTATACTACTGGCTTTGCAGGTTTTTTTTTTTTTGAGAAAAGTTCTTTCTTACAGAACTAAAAATTAGAACTAATGTGGGTTTCTTGAGGAACTGTGTTTTATACTTACCATTCTGTCTTTCACCTAGCATAGTGCTTTGCATGCTTGAGCACCTAATAAGTATTTGTTGATTGATGGAGGAGGAAGAGTGCTGAAGCATGAGTCTTCCAAACTGTTGAGAGTATATGTCTTGAAATCAACATTGAGATGGCCTTGGGAAAAGCTCAGTGCCAGCTGTGGGTTAGGAGGAGACTGTGCTGTCTGTGGTGCTCACTGTGAGGAATGAATGTTCCCTGGCAGGTACGTGGTGTGCAAGAGTTTGAAGTCTGGGATTGATGACGTGCGGGAATATCTCTTCAAGGTAAACAACAAGCTCAATCAGCTTCGGAAGAGTGACATGGATGTCAACCTTGTGGTCCCCCTGGACGTGATCAAGTCAGACCCTGAATTTACTGACTACATGATCCGATCCAATGAGAGGTGAGGGGACAACCAGGAGCCGAGAGGTTCAGAGCCTGCTGAACTCTTTGCCCCATGTGAGACCTGGTCAGCAGATTGGGAATCCTTCCCTCAGTGGTTTGGTTTCTACATCTCCCTATTCTGCCTAGATTCTTGTTTCAGGCCCTCATCCTGTCCCCAGTGCTGCCCCTTCTGCCTTTCTGTATCATCACTGTGGTTAATGCCTCAACTTAGGAAATCATTATATGGAAGCATCTGTGGTGTACGAGGAAGTAGGACCATTACAAAGGCCTCATCTCTCTTTCAAATCCCAAGAAGCAGAAGGAATTTCCTTTCATTGCTTTTGGCTGTAAATGGCCATTGCATTGTTTCAGCTGAAGCTTCCCTTTTCTGGGTCGTTCAGCTGCCTTAGTTCCAGTCTCAGCCTGCTTTGGTAGGTCTTAGCTTCAGAGTTTTTCCCACTTGACTAGATTCACAGCTGCATTCTACATGTTTTCAACCTCACTTGCCATTTTAAAAAAATTCTATTTAACTAGCATAGGTCTTCCACTTTATGTAGTGGTCACCTAAGCAGGTGGGTCATAGACCAAATTTAATTGATTTATCTGATAACTTGAGAGGCAGTATGGCATAGTGGATAGAGAGCTGGCCTAGAAATCAGGAAGAGGAAGACTTGGGTTCAGAGTCCTGTCTCTAACACTTTCTGTCTGTGTGATATTGGCAAGTCACTTACTTTCTGTACTGCTCAAGGCAGCTCCTTAAGATGAGGGTTCTTAACCTACTGCTGTGTTGAGTTTCAACTGAAGCTTCTCTTGTCTAGGGTCTGTGAATGTAAAAAAAAGTTGTTTTTTTTTTTTGATAACTGTATTTCGAAAGAATTCATTTCCTTCACAATGCTATGTATCTTATTTTATGCTTTTAAAAAACATTCTGAGAAGGGGACCATAGGTTTCTCCAGACCACCAAAGGGGACCATAATGCACGCATGCACACAGACAGACACACACACACAGACACACACACACACACACACACACACACACACACACATACATACATGCACACACCTCTTAAGAATCCCTGCTCTGAGACTATAAGCTGCATGGATAAGAAGAGTGTTTTCTCACCTGAGAATCCCCTGTACTGATGAAAGCACAGGTCCAGTTTCTGTCCCTGTTTCTATCACAAAACTTATCATGAAATGTATCAACAGGTGTTTGAAAAGTCCTTGGTGAAAGCTAGACTCTTATGTTCCCTAAAGAAGTTTAAAGTAATTGGAGAATGTTTGAAAAGACTCATAGTTGGGGGTTGAGAGGGGAGAATCTCTTTCCCTAATCCACTGTTAGTCTTCGTCTTGCTACATTTAGCCCGTCCAGTAAAAAATAATTTTTTTTCTATTTGAATGCTTCTTTTAACTTTTTTCAAAGCCCTTTCCCATGAATTATTTCATTGATACCATGGAAGGTAAGGTAGGACAGAGGTTAATATCCTCTCATGACATGAAGAAAATAATGGTTAAGTAATTTTTTTGAGGTAACTTCGCTACTTAGTGGGCAAGCCTAAACTAGAATATGTTTTCTCCTATTTAACTTGGTGCATTTTTCTCTTGGCTATACCACCTCCCATCTAGAATGAACATGAGGCAGTTATGGTAAAAATGGCCCTATTCTTTAGCCACATTGTAATAAATGACTTTTAAGCCCAATCAAAAGGAGATGGTAGGATGGCTGATGGTAAAGGTCCTTTTGTCTCCCCATTCCAGTTACTCAAGCCACTGACTTTTTGCCTTTGTTTTCATAAATTCTCCTAAAGTCAAGTTGTTTTCTCTCTTTCAGCCACTGCAGCTTGCAGATCAAAGCCCTGGCCAAAATTTATGCCTTTGTCCAAGACTCGTGAGTGTTTTCCTCCTGGATGGAAGAAGGTTGTATATATCAGGAGCAGCAGTTTAGCAAGATTCTTGGGACTGTTTCACCCCCAGCACCTTTTAATTCAAGCCAATATCTGTTAAGCACTTTGTTGAGTGTGCAAAATGCTGCTAATCTGAGAGAGAAATCAAAGAAATATATGACATGGTCCCTACCCTCAAAGAGTGAAATTACAGTCTTTTTAAGGGATAAAGCTAACACATGAGAAATGCCACAAGGACAATTAAAAAGCAGTGCTAACAAGTGCAGCATGATACCCATTTGTTTATTCAGGGCACATCAGTTGCCTGTGAGGTTCATAGCAGTCTGTTAGGCACTGAGGGAGATACAAAGATAAATAAGACGTGAACCTTTCCTCAGTGAGATGAAAAAAAATTAAATATGTGAATGTCAAGGTAACATAGAGTATTAAAAGTAATCAGTGAAGTAAAATTAGTATAGAAAGACTTTCTGGAGGAGGTGAGTTTTGATCCATTTTCATACCCTTCTTTACTTAGAGAAGCCTGGTAATTTCAGCCAGTTAAAAAATCAGTGTGGGTTTGATTAGAATAGAGGGAACTGAAATGTGCTGATGGGAACATGGAAAGGAGGTATTTGGGTAAACTCTTAGCAAGCGCATAGCTTCTTTCCCCTTTTCAGCCTGGTTACAGGTCTCTCTGGGTAACTAACCTCTAATTTCATGAGAGAGAGAGAGCCCCAGAGAAGTGTCATGAGCATCCTAGGCTAATGGTGGAAGAGTGAGTGAGTCTTCCATTTCTGCCTTTCCCCTGGGCCTGTTAAACACATAGTATAAGGTTTTTGAGTGTCGTTGGTGTGTTAATCAGTTGCTGACTTTTCCCACAGGACTCTTAGTGAACCACGCCAGGCAGAAATCCGAAAAGGGTGCCTTCATCTCTGGGGGGTGAGTATATCCATCCAGGTCAGAGCCCAGCAGGCTGCTTCCTGGACTGCCCTAAAGGAGGGTAGTAAGTATTGTGAGCGTTAATGCTTTCCTGATTGCTTCCCCATCCATCAAGGACCAGGCTGATGGCTGAAAGGGACTGATCTGCCCTCAGTGAACCCTACCATCCATTCACTTGGACACTGTCCTCCGGGCTCTCCCTTTCAGCTCCCTCATTTAAGTGCTTCCCTGTGGCCAGATCTAGAAGTTGTTAGTCAAGGAGTGGTGGGAAGGTGAGACAGAGTTTGCTATTGATTTTTCTGTGTAGCCATATTGGTCTCAAAGATTACTAGAGCAAACAGCTGATGTCAAGGATATGCTAACCCCCAGGGGCAATGGTAATTTGTATCTAGATCCCTGTTCAGTCCCTTCACCCTGGTTCCACATGGTAATCTTCTCCTCAGCTCTGCCCTGCCACTCTGGTCACCCAGATATACACAGGAGAAGATAGGACAGCCAGTGAGCCCCGAAACTAAAATTGTATATCTTCCTTTAGATTCCAGATCAGGCCAGAGTTGCTCTCTCTTCTTCAGATCCAAAGTCAAAGTTCTTTGAATTGATAAAGGTGAGTGAGGTAGACTCTAGTATCTGGGAGAAGGTTGAGGTCATGGAGATGAGAAGTGGGAGAAATCCTTGAGGTAGTCCAGTATGACTCTTCCCCCACCCTACCCCCAGGGCCTTGATTGTGTCATACCCCCTCTGTAAAAGCATTAGCATTGGCACCTCCCCAGCATCCCCAGGGAAGCTGTCACATAGGCTGACAGCTTTCATCTCTAGAAGCTGCCATGTTCATTATCACTGTTCTCCTGAGCACAGTGATTATTACTGCTTTCAGCTTACTTGACTCCTATGGGATTCACCATTACAGACTCCTCCAAACATCTCTGTGGAAAGTGGATTCTTCTTTGTAGATGGAGAGCTGAGGCAGAGGAACAGAGACAACTCCCCACCCCGAAAGTGCTAGCAAAAATTAGAGCTTAGGGTCAGGCCTACTGGCCCAGCCCTGATTCACCAGACAACTCTCCCAGCAATTCCCAGGCTCTTAGTCTCTTTCCTAGTTAACTGGTCCTAGTAGTTCTTTGTCCCTCATCTTTCCCAATCCTGTGCTTTCCCTGAGTTTTGTTTGAATCACTGAGAGCACAGTAGCCCTTGTTCTGTGGGGATGTGTGACAAGTGGACCTCATGGAAATGCTTAAAAGATTGAGTTTGTGTGTATTAAACTGAACAGGAAGAAGAGAGGCCTTAACTACTCTTAACAAACAGCTGCAAAAATTCTTCCCTTTGGTTTTACTGAGGGGGCAACTTTTATATTCTAGTGACATTTCCTTATAGCTGCTGGTGAATCGATCTGTGTGCACTTGGGGACTCTGTGTTCTTTTCTTTCTCAGCTTCTTGTAATAGGCCCTAGAGGAATACTGCAGACAAATTGAAATATATCCTATTCAGTGTGTGGTTTGGTCAGGGGAAGGTTCAGGCGGAACAGTGTTCAGGGTTCTGACTGTGGTGGTTCATCCTTCTAGTTTAACTGTCATTTCTCTCAATCCTACTTTTAGGGCACTGACATTGATATCTTCAGCTATAAGCCTACTCCACTCAACTCCAAAACCCTGGATAAAATTCGCTGTGTTCTGGACTACCGCTGCATGGTGTCGGGGAGTGAGCAGAAGTTTCTCATTGGCTTAGGGGTGAGTGGGTGGGTATGTTTGTGCTTAGTTTGCTAGGTTGGGTTTCTCCCAACCCAGGTTGGTTCCTCTGCACCTTTTTTAGGACTGCTTCACACAGCCTCTAGAGGTTATCATTTTGCTACCTGGTAGTGTTTAATGTTTGTTCTCTGTAGGAGCACACACTATATTTACCTGGCAGATGAGATACCATGATCAGGAAAGTAGTTTTCCCAGAACTAGACTCAGCATTACACTTTGACTGTGCTGACACCTAGGATTTCCCTGTGTGTCTTTACAATAATGAAGTGTCTACATTTTAATAAAGGGAGAAGAAACAAGTGTCCCTTTAGAATGTTAATGTCTTCCAGGATCATAGAGTCAAGTAAGGCAAACAGGGGCTGGGGATGATTTTGTTCTGTTTTGATGGTCTTAAGACAAGAAAGAAGAGGAAAAATGGAACATGCTAGAAGAAAAGAAGAGGAAAGGGGAAGGAACTTACTATTTTACATAATAGGGGTTTATGAAATGAATAATATAAATATGGAGTAAGGCATGGGGAGAATGGGCATTACATGAACCTTACTTTGATCTGAATCAGACAAAGAAAGGTTGATCATACTCAATACAAACATTCACAAAGAGTTTGATGCAGAGATACATTAAACTCAGTAGGAAAATAGGCAGAGGTGGAGAAAGAGACAGAGAAGAGAAGAGAATGATATTTAAGAGGGAGGGTAGGATTGGTGAGAGATTAGTCATAAGAAAAATAAACAGTAATGTCAGAGCATGAAGGAAGGATTAAAAGGAAAGAGTAAAAACCTGTGATCAGGAGCAAAGAAAGGGGCGCAGAGCAGAAACAGAATGCTTCAGTTACTATAGATTACTAATTTAATAGATCACTAAAAAGAGCACATTTTTTTTCCTGCCTTCTTTGCAAAGGAGGGTTGGGGGAGGGTGGGGGAAAAAAATGAAAAAGTGCAAGAGGATAGGATGGAGAGAAATTTAAAAATGACAGTTATAAATGTGAACATGAATGGGTTGAATTTAACCATAATACAAGGATAGCTGAATGAATTAGAAAACAGTATCTAACAATATGCTATTTGCTAGAAATATACTTGAAACAAAGATTCACATGAGGTTAAAATAAGAGGATAGAGCAAAATCTGTTATGCCTCAAAAAGCAGAAGTAGCAGTGATCCTCAGACAAGGCAACAATAAAAAACATATCAAATTAAAAGAGATAAACACAGAAGCTCTATTTTGCTTATGTTGTAGGAGCACACTATAGAAAATAAATATCCATACTTAACATATCTGTCCTGAATGGCATAGCATGTAAATACTTGAAGGAAAAGTTATCACATTGCAGGTAGTAATAGCCAGAATATAATAGTAGGGAGAGGACCTTAATGTGGCCTTTTCAGACCTAGAGAAAAATGGCAAGATGGTAAACAATAAAAAAGTGAAAGACCTGATTGGAATTTGAGAAGTTAGATATGATAGATTTCTGGTAATTATTGAATGGAAACAGAAAAGAGTATACATGTCTTTCAGCTAGGTATGGTACCTTTGTAAAAACTGATGATGTAGTTAGGGCATAAAAACCTCACAAACAAATGCAGAAAAGCAGGTTAAATTAAATACATTCTTTACTGATCGTAGTGCAATAAAAATTACTGTATTTCACCACATAACTGTCACAGATTTTATGCCAAATTTTTTGCAAAAATGTGAGCCGTGACCATTACATGAAGCTTTTTTAAAAAATAAATTGTGCTGGTATCACTTAAAAATCATTTATTACTAAGCTGTCTTTGGTGCAAGATTAGGATGCACGGAATACTCATGTTAAAATTGAATACTGACAAGTGCATATGCCCATATCTGTATGTCACTGAATATATTGCTGCTCTGTTTACCTTTTAAGCGGTGTGACGAGTAGAATTATACCAAGCTACAATTATGTGATGAAAGGTTATAAACCAATTTTTTGGACTAAAAAAACCACAACACACAGAGTGTGACAGTTGTGCGGTGAAATGCAGTATATTCAGAAAAAGACCTTTGAAGAAAGGATTCAAAATTAATTGGAGGCCAAATAATTTAATCCTAATGAATTGGTGGATTAAAGAACAAATAATAAAAAGCAATAGAAAATTTCATCAAAATAAATGACAATAATGAAAATGCATAACAAAACTTTGGGATGCAGCTAAAGCATCCCAAACTTAGGGAGAGTTTATCTCTGTAAACACTTTCATCTGTGAAAGAGAGAAAGAAGAGGTTAATGAATTGGGCATGCAACTAAAAAAACCTAGAAAAGCAAAATATTAAAAAAAAAACCCTAACATTAAAAATTTTGAAAGTGAAAGAAGAGATTAATAAAATTGAAAGCAAAAAATCCCACTGAATTAATAAATAAAACCAGGAGCTACTGTTTTGGGGAGAAAAGAAACAAAATAAACACAGTCTGATTTTTTAAAAAGGGTAAAACCAAATTGTTGATAGAAAAATTAAAAAAGACAATTCACAACAATTGAAAATTAAGTAAAGGGGAAATTATCAGAAACAACTGTGATCAGTTCTATGCTAACAAAACTGTAGGCACACAATGCAGATGAGCTGTGTTTTGGCCTGCTTCGGCAGTCACGCTGTGACTATAGTAGACAACTTGACCTTTTCTTTGAACATGCTGATGATTGTCCTCATCTCTGCTAAAGGGGCTGCTCTGACTTTTGGAAACCTTTCCGATGCTTTTGAGTTTTCCTACGGTATTTGACCTTTAGACATTGAGGTCACCAGGCCTGTCCTATGCAAATTCATCATCTATTTCCTTCCTTAGCTGTATAAACCTCATCCTTTTTTTGCAATATGAGCTGAGGTGAGGAACAGCGAAATTTCTTTTCTTTCATATCCCCCTCTTCCCACTGCAACACACGCCATCAACTGTCAGGCAGAAAATACACTTAAACACATGGGGTGCAATATTGACTAGAAGCCTTGACTGAGAATTAAACCTCACCAGGCCCTGCTTCTTCTTTTGTGCCCTTCTGACCCAGTCCTTCCTTTTTGCAGAAATCCCAGATCTACACGTGGGATGGCCGCCAGTCAGACCGTTGGACAAAACTGGACCTTAAGACAGAGCTGCCCCGGGACACACTGCTCTCAGTAGAGATTGTTCATGAACTGAAAGGCGAGGTTAGAGGTGGTTTTAAGTTCATTGCTGTCATTGGCCTGGCCTTGTTCTTCCCTCTCCCCTTTCTCTTTCATTCTGCTGGTGACAGATAGATACTTTCTGGGCAGGATAGAGAGGACTCTGGTTCTTATACTGCCTTGAGTTATATCTGCCCAGCCTTCAAATAGAACAGCCACTATCGGTAAGTACTTCTTTGAATAAAAAAGACATAAAACTCTATACAGTTAGCTCCTAGTTATTTGTACTCATGCAGTCCTGCTCTACTGTTCTCCTTCTTATCCATGCAACAACCAACCCCCCCACCCCCCACCCCCCAGTGGTATGGATAATGCAAAATAGAAAAAGACAGACATCATCTCCTTTGGCCTTATATGTTTTGTTAAGGGTAAGGCTCAGCGGAAGATCAGCGCAATCCACATCCTTGATGCACTGGTGCTGAATGGCCAAGACATCCGGGAGCAGCACTTTAATCAACGGTATGGCCCAGGGCCTTGGGAGGAGAAGATAATGTGGTGGTGGGGCCTTGGAGAGCCAGACTCCAGCTTGACCCCTATGGAAGCTTTGGCCACAGTATCAGAATGGCTTCCTTCTCAATCTTCCTCTCACTTCTGGTCTCCACTATTAAGTGGTGCTAGGGGTCCTCCTCCCCACCTGTGGTAGGCAGGGCTCTAGATGTCGCTCCAGCCTCCTCCTCAGCTAGAGCCTACTGAGTGAGGACCAGCTCATTCCATGTGTTAACACAGCCACTCAGATCAGTGGAGACATTTGTGCTAGGGCGGAGAGGAGATGACTCTTATAGGTAAACAGTATTCACCTGAAGAGAATGCACTGTACAGGTAGCCAGGTGGCACAGTGGATAGAGCACTGGGCTTGGAATCAGGAAGACTCATCTTCCTGAGTTCAAATTTGGCCCCACCTACTTACTAGCTGTGTGATTCTGGGCAAATCACGTCACCCTGTTTGCCTCAGTTTCCTTATCTGTAAAATGAGCTGGAGAAGGCAATGGCAAACCACTTCAGGATCTTTGCCAAGAAGACCCCAAATGGAATCACAAAGAGTTGAATATGAATGAAAAGACTCAATAACAATAGCTGAGGAGATGACTCTTATAGGTAAAAAGTATTTACCTGAAGAGGATGTATTGTACAGGTATAGTACTGTATAACCCAGTTAGTTAATACAATTGAACCAGGCATGTTTTGTGTCAGAGGACTAGGGAGTACAGTGGAGATTAGAGGACCATGCAGCCCCCTCAGACAGCTTCATGTTCTAATTGGAGAATGAGAAATTGTTTTCAAGGGAGGGTTCTATTGTAGGGAAGGAAGAGACAGTGATGTAAAAAAAAAAAAAAGAGCGTTAAGTAAAAACTTTTAAAATCCTCCTGAAAACATAAGTAACACAATGTCTGCAAATAGAGTTCAGGCCTAGAGCTAAGGAGGGGGTCAGATGGGATAAGACTTGGCTGAAGAAGACCTCGAGGAGATGTGTGTGAGCGTGGCTCATTCACCAGCCCTGCTGGTCATTCAGAGCTCAGATCCCACACTGGTGGCTTAGCACAGCACCTGGCTCTTGGTAAGCGATTGGTAAATGCTTGTTGGCTGAATGACTAGTAGCAGTAAAGGCTCCTCGGCCTTCGAGCTGGAAGAGACCTTAGAGATTATAGATTATCTACAGCAATTTTCCTTTCATAGATAAGAAAACTAGAAACCCAGAAGAGGTCACAGGGAATAAGGGGCAGAGCTGGAGTTTGAGGCTAGATCTTCTGGCTCCAAGCTGCCTTTTGCTTATCTCTGAGAGACTCTTTGCTTTTTGTTGCAGAATTCAGCTCGCTGAGAAGTTTGTGAAAGCCGTTTCCAAACCCAGCAGGCCTGACATGAACCCCATCAGGTGTGTGAGCCCTGCTGGGGGCTGCTTTAGCACCCATCAAATCATAGCACAAAGGTAGCCTGTAGAATACAAGTGGAATCACACCTGTATTCTGCTTGTGTCTAAACCGAGCCCTACTACTGGGGACACTTGCACTGCCAGGACTGCCTCTTTGCCTCCCAGGCAGGTTGCTCTTCCCTCCCTTTCCCAACACCCTCAACGTACTTGCTTGCTTGCTACATTGCGTAAAATTCTACCATTAGAGATTCATTCCTTTGGGTTAAAACTTTGTGTTTCCAAGTATCCTTTGGACAACGTAAATGCCTCTGGCAGGAATAATAGGACAGTACATGAAACATCAGTTGTTCGTGTTGCCTTATTGAAATTTAACGTTAGTGGGTTTTTTCCCAACTGCTGGCAGCTGTTGGATAGGAGGCTCCTGAGAGAGCGATAATTTTTATGAGGAATTGATGAAGGAATAGTTTTGGGGCATAGGATGGACATACCTGGGTTCAGAAATGGGAAGCTTAGAGCTAAGGAACGCATGTAGTAGCCCCATGGAGGGGAGGAAAAGGAGAACGTAGAAAGAAGGAGGCGGGGGAGCAAGTTTCCCTTATGCCCTACTCTTGCTTATGCCAGGCCCTGTTGTGAGAGTCTGGCTAAAGGAAAAGAAATGAGATCTTGTATTGTCTTCTGGATAGTCAGCCCTGCTCCTTGAAATGGAGCAAGCCTGGACGTAACTGCTATAAAATTCCATGTCTACGGAGTACCTGCAAGGAAGCCTCTAAGATTCCTGGCTAGGGTTTATGTGGTCCAGCATGACAGTTCTGTGTTATCTCTCCCAGAGGTATTTTCATTTTATAAAGGGTATTTGGGCACACAAATTTTAACTGCAAGGAATGAATCACTAATAGTAGGATTTTAGACATTATAGAAGGCAGATGGGGTGTTAAGTAGTCCAGTTTTGAGGGGAATTTCCCAACATCTATCCCATACATTTTCTCAGGGGTTCCTGGGGGAGTAGGGTGGAATACACTGGGGAGTTGATTGGGATTGATTACTATCTGTTTGGCAGACTTCCTAACTTGTCTAGTTAGGGATCTTCTTCTCCTACTCAGTCTTGTTCTTCATCTAAGGTAGCTGGGGGTATAGGTTGTCTCCTAAGTAAGTATAGACCAGACTGGGAACAGATAGACATGTTGGGATTATTTGGCCTCTCTTTTTTGTTTGACCCCTTTCTTGCCCAGTTATCATCATAGCATCATCTTCCTAACTTCCATCTGTCAGGGTCCTTGTTGTGGGAATAGGATTGACCAGCCCTGATGCCTGGGGGACCTGTGGAGGGAGAGGGCACATAGAGGAGCTGGGAGGTGGATTGGAAGGAAGGAAAGGGAAAAAGGGAAGAAGAGAAGGTTGAGATTCAGATGCCAAGCCTATTATCTACTGCTCAGCCAGATGAGCTATGAGTAATACCCAAGCAAGTTGGGGAATTCAATTCACATGGCCCTTTGTTTCTTTCACCCCATCCCCACAGAGTAAAGGAGGTGTATAGATTGGAAGACATGGAGAAAATTTTTGTCAGGTGAGTAATTAGAAACAACCAAAGGTGTAGAACAACTTTTTGCCTCCCAGTAAACCAGAATACCTTATGATTTGGGAGAATCCAGGGTGCTTCTTGGGGTCAATCCTAGAGGCATTTTTGGTGGTTCCTAGGGTTCCTAATCTGCTCCTTGGTTCTGGCCCTGTAAGGGGTATGCCAGGCTAAATTTGCAAGGGGAGCAGGATGGCTAAGGAACTTGGGAGGTATTAGAGTATCCCTACAGGTGAAGGCTACTATTCCACTTATGTATGTCTCACCCCGCTGTGGGCCATGGGCACAGCTAGGAACTCTATGGCTGAGAGCTGATTCAGTCTAGTGTCTGGAGGCGATGGGGTGGTTGGGTCTCAGGCAGAAATACGGGCTCATTGAAACTATAAATAGTTAACAGTTTTCCCTTTGAGAAGCAGGATGACAGATTGGATGAAACACCATAAATCCCAGTCCTTGCTGGGTCAGCAGAGATTGAGTTGCTTCCTTTCTTTCCTATAGTGGCGTGATCCATGTGAATGCATCTGTGTGGGTTGCTAAACATGTGTCTATGTGAGTTGGTCTGTATGTGAGTCTTCCTATGTCCATATATCTGGATGTATCAGTGTATGAGCTGGAGCCAATGATGGGCTGTGGATCTGAGCCTCAACTCTTTTACCTAAGCTGCTGTTTGGTTATTTCTGTTACCTTGCTGTATGCAAGGTGGAAGGGAGGACTGTGCATCCCTAGCGGTCATTTATGTTAATTACACACCCTTGGCAGTAACATCTTGAAACTCAGAGAACAGCAGCACTCATACATGTAAAAATGTCATGTGTCATAGCAAGGGTGTGCACACCTGGCCCAGCAGGACACATTCTTTGTGCTGAGTATGTGGTGCCAGGCTAGGTTCGAGGAATCCTTCATCATCAGAAGTGGGAGAGGCCAGACTGACCATGTAGTCCAACATGGTCATGTTGTGCAGGGGGAAAAATTGATTCACCCAAAGTCATGCAGCCGTTTAATGACTTTCATGATCCTCAGGCCATTTTTTTCCTATACCATGAGACCTGTGTTTTAATTCTGGCTTTGCTGCCAACTCACTGTATGACCCCAGGCAAGTCCCTTACCTCTTTGCACTTAAGTTTCCTCATTTGTCAGATGGGGATAATAACAACATACCCTACCTAACTCATGAGATTGCTGTGAGAATCCACTGTGATAATGAAATGAAAGCATTTTGAGGACTATAAAGCTAGGGATTGTTATTATTAATAGATATGGGTTCTGTTCATCCTCCTATGACCCAAGACATATACATGCAAGACAACTGGGAAAATCTAAAGGTATATATGGTTTATGGCTCCGGCACAGTTTTTTTCCATGTCAAGTGGACCAATCTGGATAGACATTGAAGCCATGGCTTTATTAGTCTTAAGTTCACTGGCTTAGACTTTAGATTTCACTCAGTACAAATATCTATGTTACTGCTAATGCACAACAATTGTATTTATTGATTGCTGCCTGTCAGTGGGTGTGGTGTATAGAGACTTAGGCTTAGGGTTGAGAATAGGTCTTGTGCTCCCATGGCAGTTTATTCCTGAGTTCTGGTTGAAGTGGTGATTGCTCTGATGGTTTTAGTGTTAGCCAAGATTTATGAACACAATAGGAAATCATTGTTTGTTTCTCTTATCATCTACTTCCTTCTCTATATCTCTGCCTCCTGTGGGAATTCAGGTTAGAAATGAAGGTCATCAAGGGCTCACATAATATGCTTCGACTCAGCTATACCGGACGGGATGATCGACACTTTGTGCCCACTGGCCTCTACATTGTCAGGACTACGAATGGTGAGTTTTCCTCTTTCTACTCTGACTTTCCTCCTCCCACACTACCTCCTAACTCCTTTGAAAACTTTACCCTTGCTGTTGCTTCTCAGGCTTTGGGTACAGATTGACTTGCTTTCTGTGATCCATAAGTTGATGAAACTGTAATGGCCAGCCAGACTGTCATTAGCTAAAGTATATGTTAATAGTATCTTTCCCTCATCCTGACCCTGTTGGTCCCTTGGCTGGACCTCATTCTTCTTTGTTCCCCCCTGGGCTTGGGAGAAAGTGTTGGGAGGCAGCTTCAGGAACAGTTTTATCCTGTCTCTGAGCCCCCTGTATCCCCTGCCCCATTTGAACCCACTTGCTGTTTCCCTTTTCCTCCTGGGCTCCAGCAGCATATTATCATTGCCCAAGATGCCAGAAGGCCAGAAGACACAGGTGGTCTGACATTATAGTCATCATCACTATTATTATTAGCTTGGTTTTGTTATTGATAATTAACAAGAAGAAGAATATCTTAGTGTTTACTGTGGTACCACTTTGGGATGGTAGTGAGGTTAAGATATTCAGCTACTACCCTTCGGGCTCTTTGCTGGGAGAGAGAGAGGCCAATGAGAGCTGAGGGAAGGGATACTCCCTGATTGTTAGCAGGCTGCTTACCAGAGTGCTCATGAAACCCTAACAAGCTTCCTGAGTGGCACGCATGAAGATGGAACTGGGCACAAGTCGAGAGACAGGAGGATGGGAAGGATTGGAGAAGGATAGTGTAGGACTTTTCTGAAAACTCTGTTGTTTTTCTACTTTGAAAGAGAGCAGTCTAGTCCTGATTGATAGACTATAGGCCTGCTCATTATACCTCTTGGATAGCATGAAGACATTGTATAAATTAACATTTCTGAGACCAAATTTTAACCAGGGTCAAAATAGGATTAAGATAAATTAGGCCCAGCAAACTGAAAGGTCAGTCTATAATTCCCTGACCAGACTCTGGCAAGCAGTCTATAAAATGGATTCTGTCACCTACATTGACAGCTGTGTTTTGCCTGTCCTCCTCCTGCTTAGAACCCTGGACCATGGCATTCAGCAAAAGCTCTAACAGGAAGTTTTTCTTCAACAAGACAACAGGGTTTTCTACTTTTGAAATGCCTCTGGACGCCATCGCTCCATTTCAGTAAGTAATGCTCTCCACCTTCCTTACCCCCTTTGTCTCTTTCCTTGATTCTCCTTCCCTTTCATGTATGTCATCTCCACTTCTGCCAGGTACTCTATCCCATGTTCACATTAGTACCATGTTACTTGTTGCCATGGCTCAAGTAAGTGCTAAGGAGGGCCTGGCACTCCACTGTTTATTTCCCTTCTCTCCAGATTAGATTCTATTTCTTTTTTTTTTTGTTTGTTTTTGTTTCTGTTTTTGTTTTCAGGCAATTGGGGTTAAGTGACTTGCCCAGGGTCACACAGCTAGTAAGTGTCGAGTATTTGGTCTGAGGTCACATTTGAACTCAGGTCCTCCTGACTTCAGGGCCGATGCTGTATCCACTGCGCCACCTAGCTGTGGCTAGATTAGATTCTAGAATGTACATAGGGAGATCCTTTTCCCCTAGGCAGGTAGAAGGAAAGGAATGGGATTAAATCTTTGGCCCCAGACGTGGGAGACTAAATGGAGAGAAGAGTAAGTTTGGAGAATTAATCAGCAGGTGTTTCGTAAGTGCCTGCTTTGTACCAGGCATTATGCCTAAGGCCTGGGGATATAAAGAAAGGCAAAAAAATCCAGTTCTTGCTCTCAAGGAGCTCACAACGTAAGTAAAAAAGGTTGGAGAGGGAGGCAATAGGATAGACTCTTGCAGGGAAACAGAGGAACCTTGAAGAGGACTTTCTCCTCCAGGTGTCCTGCCCCCTGGGCTTACCTAGACATACTGGACATACACATGGACCTTCTCTTAGTACAAGGTCTCTCCTTCAGCCCCTAAAGCTGTCAGATTGTGGTTCCGTTTTTGTTTTTTTTTAACCTCCCAAGTGTGCATTCTCTGGGTGAGTGAGTGGGTGACTCCTCAGAAACAACTGGTTGGTGCATCCTATTCCTTATGCAGGAACTCCATGAAGGGAGGGTGAAGGTGTGTGCTGAGGCAGATTCCTCTTCTACCCCGCACCTTCTGCCAGACCCTGACTTGGGGTTTCTCCTTTCCTTCCTCAGGGTAAGGATGCTAGCCTGTATACATCTTGGACAATAAAGTTTATATAGACTGGATGTCCTTGGGTAGAGAAAGGATGACAGAAGAAGGTCTAAGTGTATGTATTTAGGTACCACTGACTGATGCTACCAGGTGTTGGGGTAGTCCTGAGGGAGTTGGAGCCTGTGAGGCAGTGCATTGGGATGGGCATTGTCCCCATGATGGGGAACAGAGCCCCAAGGCCATCTGCCCTCCCCACTGTCCCAAACCACTGCTTCCTCAAGGCTTCTCAGGTCTTTCCCATCAGGCCATAGGATTCATTTACTGAATAGGGTAGTTTTCCCAAATAGCAGGCAGTGGGGCACTAATGTGCTTGTAATTAGCTATTGATACTTGCTCTTATCACAAGGCTAATACATTTCTGTTAGGACAGGACAGACATATAAACCATTAATATGAAGTACCTATCATTGACCCAGTAGCAAATTAGCACCAGTAACATTTTTTTTTTTTTGGAGAATGGTGGAGAGCAAGGGTGGATAGTGAAGCAGGCTGGAGCAGTGACCCATTGGGAAATCCTTTTGTTACTATAGGTAAGGAAGAATCTTGAGAGATTTGTTCAGTTGGTCCCACCCCTTTTTGAAGGGAACTCTCTTCCCCTGCCTTCAGTCTAGCCTTCTACCACCGCCCTCTACTGTCTGGTCTCTAGTCCTGCTTTTCTCTCCAGGACAGTCATTAATGATCTGCCTTTTGACTAGATTAGATGCCAAACCAGGGTGGCTCTTCCTTCTTTCCTCACTCTCATTAATCCTATCCCATCCAGCCTATTAGCCCAGCCTAATGGTCTCTCTTTCCTGTCCTCTCTTATCTTACCCCAGCATCTGCTACTATGGGCGGCTCTTCTGGGAGTGGGGCGATGGTGTCCGAGTACATGACTCTCAGAAGTGCCAGAATCCTGAGAAGTTGTCTAAGGATGACATCCTCTCCTTCATTCGGGAACACAGTGTCTGAGGATCCAGCCCAGGAGATCATAGCCACCCCTGAGGACCCTTGGCTACTGTCTGAGGAAAGAGAGAGGGGGCTGATTGTCCTATTTGGAGCAAGATAACAGCAGATAAGACAGGTCACTTCCTCCTTAGAGGAGAAAGAGTGGCATTCAGAGCACATCAAGGACAGGGTGGATGACCCTCTCACCACTGCTCATCCTGAATTATATCCTTCCCGTCCCCCTAGGACACTTTGTGAGTATTTGGGAGGAGCTAAGGAAGTTGGCCTTGCTTTTGCTCCTGGTATAGCCCTTTCACTTCCCATCCCCGGAAGGACACGGTGGGAACTCTGTCCTTCAGGAGTATGGCCTAGAATGAAGCTGTTCCCCTTGTTTGGTCATTCGAGGGTCAATTCCTGGGTATGTCGGCTGGCTTGGGGGCAGAGGCAGAAGTTTAAGGGCACCTGATGAAATATCACTGCTGAAGTATCAGAGCTCCTGGAGTTTCTTGCACTTCTCCTGCCCCGATTCTGGGAGTCCTTCCCTTTTAACCAAGTAGCTGAAGTGCTCAGCAGGATCATGAGCAGAGAAAGAAAGACTATGACTGTTGGACATGTCAGTCCATGTATCTACCCCTTGCCCTTGCCAGCCCCCAGAACCCGACCTCTGACAGATTTTTTTCCTTTTTTTTTTTTCCCCTTCACTTCAGTGTGAATGTCCATTGGCCTATCCAGAGCGTTCTTTCTAGAACTGCCTCCTACCCCATCCCCACTTCTGGTCCAAGCCTGAGTAGGGCAAACAACTCTGAAAGTTGATGAAGCAGCTGCCACATGTTGCCCAGGCATCTTGTCTAGGAAACAGTGGCCTTGCCTGTGCCCTGGAGGAGTACCTTTAATTGTGGGTGAAGGGATCAGTGCCCATAGGAGTCCCTGTGGAATACTGTCCTGTCGCAGCATGATGCCCAGCGTGGGGGCTTGGCCCAGGTCTCTATGTTTTGCCAAAGATAAGATGCTGGAGGGTTTGAGTGGAGTTTCTCAGGCCCGGGATCATTCCCCTCCTCTCCTTTTTCCCCCAACAAAAGGCACAACTTGCTTTCATGTTTTCTCATGGGTCTTCAGCTCTTACCAGTCCCATGCACACAGAAAGGTTAGGGACCGTAGGTCCTCAGTGGAGGAAGGAAGCATGTCTGTGAGCTATTTGATGAGAAGCTCATCAGTGCTCAGAACTGGTAATATATTTCCCTCTGCCTTTCCTGGGGCCCAGGCTGGAGGGCCAGAAGTAAAGATTCCCTTTGCTGGGCTTGTTTCCATGGTGATAGGCAGAGGGTTGCAGGGTGGGGGAGTATCTCCACTGTGTCCATGGGGTGGACTAACAGTCTTCCTCTATCCTGCATTTGGTAGTAGTAGCCCTGCCTACAGAGGTAGCTTATTTCCACCCAATACTGGGTTAGGGGTGTGTGTATGTGTCTCATGGCGCCTCAGATCATTAAAGGAAAAAGATATTTTTAAAACCCGTGTAATTTTGTACTGATGGTTGGCAGTTTGTGCTTGGTACTTTGTGGCGTGGGAACTGACTTGGTTGAAGACTACCTGGGCTGTGAGGTGATGCAGAAGGAGCTGTCTGAAAAAAGAGGCAGGGGAGGGAGCTTTAGAATCAAGAGGCCCCGACATCCTGGAGAATAGCATTCCAATCAGAGTCCAGCCTGGTGTTAGCATGTTGCAGCAGCAGCGCATGGAGCAGAGATAGTGGGGAGGATCTGATTGTCTTCCTGACAAGGCCGAGGTGGAAGGACCTGCCTTGCTCAGTTACATAAATCACACAGCTGGCCAGCTGGTGGCACATCCACAATCCAAGATCTGTCTGTGAGACTAAAATAGCAGAAGTGGCAGACTAATTAATGTCACTTTAGACTCTGGGAGGAGGGTAGGGAAGGATGGCTTCACTGACACCCCCCCCCCCCAGCCTCTCACTCTGCCTCCAGCCCCTGGACTGCTCTCAAGCATGGCTCTTCCCTGCCCCTTCCAGGACCTAGGCCAAATTATTTAGTGGTTTTTCCCTAGCATTTTTCTCAGAGTACTTCTCTTCCCCTTCCCCCAGGCTCCATCCCAATGCCTCCCCCTCCTCCCTTCCCCCAGGGTCCCTCCTTAATGTTTCCACAGCCTTCAGTTCCCCCCAAGTTCCTCTTTTCCTCATTGTTTCGCGTATTTAATTGGTTTAATCTTGCCTCTTTGCTGCTTGAGCCCCTTTATCATTTTAGTTGCTTTGCTCTGGCCTCCCTCCAGCCGCCTTTGTCTCCCTCCCCCTTTTCTGTCCCCTGCCCCCATGCTTCGGCAGTAGAGGAGGGCAGAGCAGGTGGGATCTGGCCTGGCCAGTGATGTCTATGTTTGTTGTGCTTGAACTGCCAGAACCCAGCTGCTGTCAGTGACTGCACTGACCTGCGGCCATCCCTCACTGCAAAGCCAATTCTAATTTACTGGCCACTGTCACCCATATGTCTGTCTGGTTATTACCATGGCTGCTGCTGCTGCTCACTCACAGCAGCTTCTTTCCCTCCAAGATGGATTAACTCTCTGGTCCCTTGGAGCTTTGTGGCTGCTTTTGGCCCCTGAGTTTCCCTTTGCTGTACAGTCCTGATGGCCTCATTTTTCTGCAGTGATTAAAGGCTCTGCTGGGTGGTTTGAGAGCACCTGAGGGTGAGGGTGAGCTGACAAAAGGGACTATTGAACAGAGCATTTGGAAGCTGTCACTTTGTCCCTCAGGCCTCTACCAGATGCCTCTAACTTGGTACTTGGGGCTAGTTCCCCAGTCCTTCCCCCAACATTTCCTCCCTCTCCCCAATCATCCCTTCAGCTTCAGGAAGACTGGCATTTATTTGACAAGCAGTTGTCAACCTTCTTTATTGGCCATTCTCCCTGGGAGGAGCCAGCACCATTTCCCTGCTGACATCCAGGCCCTGTACGCCAGCAGGGTTGAGTATGAGACCTGGTGCCAGAATCTTGGTTTAGGTAGGGACGGCCCCCTGGGCCTTGTTAGCATCTAGGCCTAGGGAGTCAGGCAGGTGTCTTTGGGAGTCAGCAGGTAGAGTCCAGAAAGAGGGACCAACTTTCACTGTCCTAGTCCAGTTCTCCAACCATGGTTCCTTGTGGTTTGCAGTGGAAACTAGTGGGGTCACATAGTCCAGTAGGCATAGGCGAGAAGAAGGAGCAAGAAGATTGCCACAGATAGCAGCGTGTTCTTACGGTTCTCTCTCCGAAGGGACTTCAGCTCCCTTTCTGTGAAGAAACCCCCCAGTGTGATGGGGGAGGGCCTGCCTCCTTCACAGTCCACCTCCAGTAGTGACTGCCAATCTCTGCACCCCAGGATTTGGGAGCACCTGCCAGGCCTTCCCTTCTTGGTCAACACCCACCCCACTGTTGTTGTACAACCTAGCTCTCTACATATACCCTTGGGGCCCCCAGAATTTAGCTCAAGTATAACCTTGACATGCTTTCCACCCAAGCCCATAGTTACATTATCTTCTCCCCTTAAATGCTGTTTGAGCCCAAAGAGGACGTCCAAAGTAACTAGGGGGATAGAAACCAGTGTGGAGGACAGACCTTAGTATGGGGGAAATCAGGGAAAGAGGGGAGGGGGTCTCTAAACCTTAATTAGTAGCTATCATTGAAGAGTCATAAAGCTAAATTGTTGGAGCTGGGGGAGCCCTCAGAACTCATGTAAGAGACTACAATGATATATAAAACCAAATTAAAAAATATAAGTAATATATAATAAACAATATAAAGAAATAAAAAACATTTATGATACAAGGAGTGGGGAGAAATCATGTAAGAGTATTGAGTTGTAGACCAAAGGGAAGACTTTCCCAAGGTCACATCATTCATGGTAGAGCCAGGATGAAGCTATGTCTCCTTTCTGGGCAAGGAATTATTCCTCTCTAATTCTTTGAGGCACGTAACTCATCTCCAGTAAGTGTATGACTATAGCAGAAAGGACCCATTTAAATAATGTCCTTATATTCTAGTCAGGCCTTGTAGTCTCTCGGCAGATGCTTAATAAGTACTGGGTGAACTTAACTGTAGTGTTGCTGTCTAATTCCTGGTTCTATGTAGACAGAGAGGCTGGCTCTGGGAGTCAGAGGAAGTCTCAGCCTCTGATGTGAAGACAAGGAGGACAGGGAGAAGAACCCTGTCTGCACTTGTAGGTTCTAAACTTATCACTACCTACCCTAGCCTCCCCAACCAAAGGATATCAGGGTTGGGAAAGCTGTTAGAGGGGGCTAGGCAGGCAAACCTAGAACCTTTTAAAGCTATTCACTGCCTTGAGACTGCCTAGCCCACTTCTCACCCAGAGGGAGGTCTTCCAGCACTGGTTTGGGTCCCTACTGAAAGCCAACATGGTCTAGTAGAAAGAGTATCATGGCGGCAGCTAGGTGGCACAGTGGATAAAGCACCGGCCCTGAAATCAGGAGGACCTGAGTTCAGATTCGACCTCAGACCAAACACTTGAAATGTACTAGCTGTGTGACCTTGGGCAAGTCACTTAACCCCAATTGCCTTACCAAAAAAAAAAAGAAAAAAGAAAAAGAAAAAAAGAAAGAGTACCAGACTTGGAGTCAAGAGACTTCAAATACTGCTTTGTAGTCACTGGCTATATGACAACATGGGTAAGCCACAGTTTCAGAACCTCAGTTTCCTTATCTATAAAATAGGAATAGAGCTGAAAGAGACTTCAGGCCACCTAGTCTGACCTCCTTTAAAAAATGAGGAAACTGAGGCCCAGGGAGATTAAATAACTTCCCCAAGGTCACATTAGGTAGCACACTTCAGAGGTGAGATTTGAATCTGGGTCTGCTGACCCTTGAGCCCATGACCTTTGGCTAGTTTTGATCCAATCCTTGATCCAATCCAATCTCACAATCATTTTTAAGTGTCTATTGTGAGCACTAGGAAGACAGACAAAAGTAGCTCCCAAACAGTTATATTCTACTGGGGTACATATATATTATGTAAACAGGCAAGTATATTCATGTCAGCTGAGAAACAGAGAGGACTAACAATTGGGGGAGTGCATAGGCAGCCTATGCAAAGACACAGAAATCTGGCAAACAGTAAGCTTAGCAGTTTGGTATACAATAACCCTGAAGCCAGACTGTGAAGGGCTTTAAAAACCAAACAGAATTTTGTACTTTATCTTTGAGGCAGTAGGGAGTCACTTAGGATTCTTGAGTAGGGGAGTGACCTGTGATTTAAGAAGATTATTTTGGCAGCTGTGAGGAGGATAGATTCAAGAAGTGACATCCTGGAAACTGGGAAGTCCAAATAGGAGGCTATTAGAATAGTCAGGACAGAAGTGATGAGGGCCTGCACAAGGGTGGGATCACGTAAGCAGACACATGTGGAGGGAGAATGAGTGAAAGAGGACTTCCAAGGAAGCAAACTAGGCTGAGTTCTCCTGAAAAACACTGGGATGGGGGTGGGGGGGTTGGAAGTGCAAGGAAGCTCAGAGCTCATTCAGCCCAACCCACCATTTTTCACATGGGAAAGAAGAGCCTTGGGGAGGAAATGGCCCCCAGATGCTATAGCTCCACACGCCTGCCGACGTGCAGACTGTGTAATCCAGAAGACCTCCCTTCTCTGGCAGGAGAGGATGGTGACAGCCTCAAAAGAAAAGAGTTAGTTTAGAAGGAGTTGGTGGGGATAATGAATACCTCACTATGGTGGTTTTAAGGAAAACGCTCCCCAAACTTAAAAGCGCCATATACCATTGGGACTGTTTTATAAATGTGAGCTATTAGCGAGAGGGGCCCCTTGACCAATCAATAAGCATTCCTTGTCCCCCCTGGGCTGGGGGGGATGGACAGTCTTCTTGCAGACTGACTCCCACCCTGCCCTGGAAGTTGGGGGGGGAGGGAAGAAGGGGGACGGGGATAGTGAATGGGGTTGTCACAGTCCAACTCGGTCTCTGATTCTTTCCCTGATTCTCAGTTCAAGTTCTGGCAGGGTCCTGTTACTGCAGCCCAGCAGGTGGCAGCATGACCCCACTCTCTGGGTTCTGTGTGCAAGAAAAGGCATGAGGGACACCAACCGTGACCCCCCCCCCCCCCCCGGAGAGCAGCAGGGATATCTATCCCACCGAATACTGAAGAAAGGCATAGGGGGAAGTTTGGGGAAAATACCCAAAGAAGAGGCGTTTTAGCGTTATCAGAGTATCAGAGCCAGAAGGGAGCCTGGAGACCATCTCCTGGCAGGTGCAGAGAGGTCTCTGAGGGGGAGGGGCATGGAGGGAATGCCCCTCTTCCTATTTGGCCACAGGCAGGCAGATTGCGGCCTCGCTCCGTCCTCTTCGTCCCGAGGCCCACGTCAGCTGCAGGCGCACCTCACCAAAACTCTCTCTCCCCCCCAGGCCAGATGAGGCCAGATAAGTCCAGTGTTTTCCAGTCTTGGAAAATCTGCTCATTCCTTCCTTCCCCTTTCCCTATGTGGCTCTTGAGCAGCCTCTCCTGCCAGAGAAGAGGGGGTCTTCTGGATTACAGAGTGCATGTCCGCAGGTGTGTGGAGCTATAGTACCTGGAGGCCATTTCCTCCCCAAGGCTCTTCTTTCCCATGTGAAAAATGGTGGGTTGGGCTGAATGAGCTCTGAGCTTCCTTCCACTTTTGCCCCCCTCCCCATCCCAGTGCTTTTCAGGAGAACTCAGCCTAGTCCCCTGCTACCTCCAGTTCTCCCCCTCCCTGGGGGTGCGATACTGTATTGGCAATGGAGGGTCTTGTGTATGTGAAACCTTGGGTTTCCCAGAGAAGATTCTCCTTGCCTCAGTTTCCTCCTCTGCAAAATCAGGGTCAGATGACTTCTGAAGTTTCCTTTCATCTCTGATATGCTACCAAGAGCGCTTTGTTCCCCGAGTTCCCGCGACTTGGGATTTGTGGCCTGTAACCCCGCCCCACCCACTTTGACCAGCAGGGGGCAGCCTCACCCCACCATCAAAATCAGAGGACTGAGCTCCCCGAGGCGTTAGGTACGTACACTTGCAATCCAAGGAAAGTCTTACCATAGCTGGAGGCTTTGCTTGTCAGGTTGTTTTTTTCCTTCTCCAAAGCTTTCCTAGAAGGGTTTGGGGGGTGGGGGGTGGGGGGTGGGGAGGTGGAGAGGTAGGGGTAGAAGGCAGAGAAGCAGCTTTGTACCTCCATTCCCTTCCTTCTTCCTCCCAGTACCACCCATCCCAGACCTCTCTCTACTGGACACAGGAAGAAGGAACTGGACAGAATGAACCCCCCACCTTCACCTCCCCCCAAGCTGAAACTGACTGCGTCCAGAAAGGGGCCATACCAGGCTTATCAGCCTGGGAAGATGTGTATCAGAGAAAGGAGGCAGCCTAGAACAAGGGCACTAATCATCCCTCTTATATATACAATTCTGGTCCTGGTGAGAGCCAAGAAGAGGAAGGGATACCAGTGGCCATGCCTAGGGCAGTGGAGAAGAAAAGCCATTGGGAGACTGAATGTTTGACCCTTGAGGTTGGGGAACAGGTGGCAGAAGGGGGAAGAGAGGATAGGAGTGATCTGACACCTCTCCTTTCCTCCCACTCCTCTGCATCGAGGTCTGGCCTCTTACGGATGCCAGGCTAGCTCCGGGTTTAAACCAACAAGTGACAGCTAGCGAGAAGCGAAACTAATGTTGAGCTGGCAACGGGCAGGGGGAGCTAGAGCTGAGTCCCAGGTGTGCCCAGCTGCAAGGGCAGCAGTGTTACCTGGCCTCTGGGCTCAGCTCTTCCCTGCGAAGGCGGCCGGTCACTTCCTCCAGGTTTCTCCTGCATAGGGACAGCTTTTCCTCGAGCCCATCGATCTGAAACACACAAGCAACTCCAGATAATCCCCCTGTAGATGGAGAGGAGGGGACAACAGGGCAACAGATGGTTGTTGGGAGAAATGTGCTTTGTAAAAAAAAAAAAAAAAAGACAAGCCATAAAGGGCTGTAGAGATGTGAGCTATTATTATTATAATCCGACACAATGGTGGCTAATCCCTTAACACAAATGCATTTCTGTTTTCATTGGGCAGGCATTTATTGAACACACATAGCTTCACACAGGTATATCTCACTTAATGAAAGAAATATGCTCTTGCCAGGTTACTTTATAAGCAATGAATCATATTTTCTCATTGGCTTCTATTATATTTTCAGGGATGCAGTCCTAGGGGAATAATTCTGGTTGCAGGGTAATATTTTTGTCAAAAGCTACCAAAAGGAAATGCTAGAATCACCTACAGATGGAGGGTCTTCAATTCCAGACCCCATGTGGGTCTCTAGAGGTTGCTAAATTGAGGAATCTGTCTGGTTAAATGAAATAGACCCAATCTATTTAATTCTTAAGTATGGATTTTTATAGAATGGGTTTCAGAATAGGGTATTTGGCTTTGGAATAGCTACACACACACACACACACACACACACAGAGGTATTCATCTCCTATGTACCTGAGGCTATCCACCTCCCACCTCTGTCCTACTATATACTAGGATCTACATGGGACTCTAAAGGTAGGGAGGAGCCCAGGATAATTTATTGTTGTTTAGTCATTTTCAGTCATTTCAGTGGTTTGTCATTTCCTTCTCCAGCTCGTTTTACAGATGAGAAAACAGCCTTAAGTGATTTGCCCAGGGTCATACAGCTGGTAAGCATCTGAGGCCATATTTGAACTCAAGTCTTCCCAACTCCAGGCCCAGTGCTTTATCCGTTGCATCACCAAGCTGCTCCAGGATAATTTGGAGCACAGATAATTAAGATTTGACCGAATAATAATTGCCAAGGTTCCTATAATGCTTTGATTGTTCATCTTTGAGCTCACTGGTTCTCACAATATTCCTATAATGAGAGGGGTGGGGCAAGAGGAATATTGAGGAAACACCTCCTGGCCATCTTCAAACCATACTCCCTGCATTCTGGCCCTCCATAGCCCCTCCTTTCTTCCTTTTCCCAACCCTAGCTCTCCTATATGTGTTGTCTTCCTCTATTTGAATGTAATCTAAGGGCAATGACTGTCTCACTTCCATAGTTTGACAGTGTTTGACACACTGCACTTACTAAAGACTTCATCCATTCTGCCCATTTCAGATGGGGAAACAGAAGCCCACAGAAATTGTGACTTTTCTCAAGGGAGTCTGGTCCTCGGCTTCCTTCCTTTTGGGGCCTTTTCTTCTGCTGGGGGGAGGAAGGAGCTCAAACTAAGGATAGATTTTGGAATCTGTGCTTCCCAGGCCTAAGAGGCCAGATCCCAGGCTTACATCTCCTTTTCCATAGGCTTTAGGAGCCCAGAACTGCCGATAAAGACTTAGATTTTCATGTCTGTCTTCTATGGCCAAGCTGTCCTTACCACTTATCCTTTTATTTCCCATCCATTTTAAGTGACAGCTGCTTCCCTACACAGGCCCATGCCCAGCCCAGGTGATAACCCTCCAGGTAACCTGTCTGTCTCCTCCCCCAATCTTAAACCTCTGCCAACTCAGAATTTCTTACACTGGGGCCCTGCAGGAGGGAGCAATGGCAGAGACTTGAGTTAATTGCCTGGTTAATTGTTTCATTAATCTGCTAATGGGCACCAAGGGGAGGACTATCAGGGGGAACCAGCTACCAAGGGAAATGGTGATTGTGCCTGAAGAGGGAGGTTTCCTGGTGCCCATGTTAGCAGACCAGAGAGCTAGCTTTGAGGTCCGACTATGGGCACATGTTGATGAAAGCGGATCCAGAACTTTAGGGCTTGGAGAAGCTTTGGAATGGTATCCAGTCTATAAGCTCTACAGGTCAGGACTGTACTCCAACCATGGCAGGCAGAGCTGTCTTCTACTTTGGACCAATGTAGCCTCATCTTTTATCACTCAACTTAGCTCTGTGCTTCAACTGAGGAAGGAGGAGGATTGGAGAAAGGAGGCAGGGGAGGAAAGAGGAGAAGGGAGAGGAAGAGGGAAAGGGGGAATAGGAGGAAAGGAGAGCAGGAAGAGAAGAGGAAGGGGAAAGGAGAAGAAAGAAGTAAGAAATGAAGGAAGCAGGGAGAAGAGGAAGGAAGGGAAGATAGAGGAATCTGGAATGGGGGTAATAGGGAGAAATAGCCTTCAGTTTCCAGCAAAGGATTCACCCTGGTGGACTTCTAGATACTAGTCCTCTAAGATGGTATTTAGAAGGTGCCCAAGCAGTGTTGAAGACTGTGGGAAAACTCAAGGGGAAACCCAAGACATAGTTCTTGTTCAGAAGAAGCTTAATATTTAGCTGATTTGTTTTCTGCCCTCTGGGATCTGGGAGATGTAGGGACAATTGAAAGAACCCTAGATTGTAAATCAGAGTGTTTGAGTTCCAATCTGTGGACCTGTGTGACCTTACTAAACCTCTCTGGGCCTCAGTTTCTCTTGGAGCGTTTTTCGTTTTTTTTTTTTGTTTGTTTTTTTTTACGTTTTAGGCAATTGGGGTTAAGTGATTTGCCCAGGGTCACACAACTAGTAAGTATCAAGTGTTTGGTCTGAGGCCGGAGAGAATAGGAGTGGTCCTCCTGACTTCAGGGCCGGTGCTCTATCCACTGCGCCACCTAGCTGCCCCTCTTGGAGCATTTTTCAAGGTTCCTTCCAGCTAGGATGTTTGATCATTCTCACCTGAGATGCTGCAACTCGGGCATTTCACATAAACTTATGGGTTGTTTGTCTATAGCTGGAGCTGGCAGTTCTGATCTTATTACTGGTCACTACTTATAAAGAAATAGCCCTTAGAAGCAGGCAGGGAAGAGGGCCCTGAGGAAAAGTCATGATTCTGGAATTTCCAAATCATCCTGCTTTGACATTGGGGAGCACTCCAGGGCAGCGGCTGAAAGGTTTTCCTTTACATTACAGAAGCATTATGCATTAAGCAGAAAAGAACACAGCATTTGGAGTCTGAGGACTTAGGTTTTGAGTCTCTGTTTCAACACTCACTGGTTGAAGGACCCTGGACAACTCCACTTCATCTCTAAGTTTTCTCACCTATAAAATGGGCTAGATGTTCTCTGAGGCTTTCTAAGCCACCAAAAAGCATTATTAATGCTTTAGGTATCAATAGGTATTAGTGTGTCAGGAATTGAATACGCAAATACAAAAGTAAGACAGTCTGCCCTCAAGGAGCTTACCTTCTATTGTGGGGATGGGGGTGAGATACAATAGGGTACACATAAATGAATACAGGATATGTACTGAATGAATACACAATGATGGGGTGGGCAGAAGAACATTAATAACTGAGAGAATTAGCAAAGTCCTTTGGAAGGAGGTGGTGACTGATGGCAGCCAGCCTGTACAAAGTGGGAAATGGAATGCTCTGTACAGGGAACAGTAAGTAAATCAGTTTGGCTGGAATGAGGTATATGTGTGGGAGTAACATGTAATCAGCCTGGAAAAATAGGCTGCAGCCAGATTGTAAAGTGCCTTCAGTCCTAAACAGAGGAGTTTATATTTTATCCTAAAGCCAATGGGAAGCCTTCTTGAGCAGAGGAGTGACATGTTCTGCTCCATCTCTCACCTGAGCCCAGCCTTACATCATCACCTGTTTACTGGACAAGCTGGATGTCCCACAGACATCTTATAATCAACATGTCCCAAATGATAGCAACTATATTGCCCCTAAAGCCCATCCCTCTTCTGAATTTCTCTATTTTTGTTGAAGGCACCAGCATCCAAATTCAAAACCTGAGGGTCATCCTCAACCTACACTTCCTCACCCCACATATCCTATCCAAACATCTCTGGAATCTGTCCCTGTCAAATGACTCACTCAGCCAGCACCTCGGTTCATGTCTACATCACCTCTCAATTGGACTATTGCAATGGTCTCCCCACTTTGTCTTTAGGCAGCTAGGTGGTGCAGTAGATAGAACATCAGGCCTGGAGTCAGAAGATCTGAGTTCAAATCTGGACTCAAGACACTTACTAGCTGTGTGACCCTGGGCAAGTCATTTAACTCAGTTTCTTCATCTGTAAAATGGGGACATAACAGAGAAGGAAGGGGCAAACCACGCCAGTATCTTTGCCAAGAAAACCCTATGGATGTTCCACGAGGTCACGTAGAGTCAGACTTGACTGAACAACTCTATCTCCAATCTCTGTACCTTTGCACTGGCCATCCCCCATACCTGCAATACACTCTCATCTCACCTGAAGAGGGAGTCTTCTCCTTTTGTCAAGACTCAGATCAAGTACCATCTTGGCAGCTACATTGTACAGTGGGTAGAGTGCTGGGCCTAGAGTCAGAAAGACCTGAGTTCAAATCCAGTCTCAGATACTTTCTAGCTGTGTGGCAAGTCACTTGTTTGCCTCAGTTTCTTCACCTGTAAAATGGGGATCATAACAGCACCTTGTGGTTGTTGTTCAGTCATGTCTGACTCTTTATGACCCCATTTGGGATTTTCTTGACAAAGATACTGCAGTGGTTTGCCATTTCCTTCTCCAATTCATTTTATTTTTTTTTTTAGGCAATTGGGGGTAAGTGTTTGGTCTGAGGCCAGATTTGAACTCAGGTCCTCCTGACTTCAGGGTCAGTGTCCAATTCATTTTATAGATGAGGAAACCGAGGCCAACAGGTTTAAGTAACTTGCCCAGGGTCACACAACTAATAAATGTCTGAGGCGAGATTTGAATTCAGGTCTTCCTGACTCCAGGCCTCATGCTCTATCCACTGCTCCACCTAGCTGCCCTGGAAAGAGCCTTTTTGTTGCTGTTGTTGTTCAGTCACGTCCAACTCTTCGTGACCCCATTTGGGGTTTTCAGGGCTTTGCCATTTTCTTCTCCAGCTCATTTTACAGATGAGAAAACTGAGGCCAACAGGATTAAGTG